TTGATAACACTCACCTGGAATGGAATTTCGTGATATGGCTTCTTTAAAATGCGAAAGTTGCAAATTTTCTCTTCGTCAACTTTAATTAATGGCGTTATTTCCACAAGAGTCTCATTTTCTCGAATCAGTCCATGATACGACTTTTCCAATATATATTCTAAAATCGATGCAAATAAAAATATAATAAACACATGAACTCTGGCTGACAAAATAAAGAGTAATTAACATTTATTTCATGCTTTTCAGGAATGCAAGTAAAATTTAGTAAAGGTAAAATGAAATTAGTAAAAGTAACGCACCTCGTTGTATTAGATACTCGTCCTCATTTTCATTAGAAGAAGTCCCGGTAGACACGGAAGAACCGAGTCCAACAATCAGTATTAGACCCAAGTGGATATAATTTATGCCTTGTAGGGACACCATAATTCTGTTTCAATTATGAATGACCAGAGTTCCAAAAAAAAACACAAAATTATTGCGTTTACCGACGTTAATTTTCTGTAACGGATAGTAAAAATATTTTTTGAAAAACTCCGTTATCATTTACATTATGTTTCTAAATAAACAGTTAATACTTTTTTCAATTCAAATGTTAGAGATTTAAAAGCTTAATCTGAAAGTTTCTCATTAATCAGATGCATGTTCAAATGTATGCGTGTATGTGTTTTAATTCATGAGATACACATTTTGTGAGATACATATGTGCATATACATATACATGCATGCATACTTATATATCTATGTGTATCCAATTTATTTTTCAAATATCTATACTGTCAACTGCACGTAGTCAAAACAAAACAAAACTATTCACTTTTTGTTCAAAAATCAATTTTCTTAGATCACCATTCAATTCATTCTATTAAATATGTTTATTATATTTATTTGAATTCTTTTACATTTTTCACCAACACACAGGATATGCAAAAATCAATATTGATACCTTTACTTTGCTTTCAGTTCGCTTCAATGTTATGTTGACCTTTTTTAGGCTGCAACATATAAAACTTTATCGAAATCTTTATTTGGTGTTTGGTTGGACATTTAATATTTGTTTATCCGACATTTTTTATGTATTTGCCAAGAAAAGAATCAGTTGTTTTGGAATGCACTAAAAAATCCCAAATAAATCCAGACTCATTTCACTGGTGCATTTTTCGACACACACACATATTACATATTTTTGATTGCACAATTTCAGAACCGATAATAATAATTGGTTCACATTGGTCACACGCTATTTTTAAAACATGTGTGTCCCAAATATAAAATATTATATATATTTTGACAATATACATTACTTTTGTACACCTGTCGCATAGCAAGAAAAATGCTTGAATACAAGATATTTATTTTTTATAGAATAAAAAGTGTTTTATTTTTAATTTAAAGTGAGATTCCTGAAACTGATTGAGATTTCGTCGGTCAGTTGTTCACTGTTGCTCCATGCAAAATGTGCCTAGATATAGAAAATGGCTGGAAGTGTTTTAAATTATATTTTAAAATATATTCAATTTCTGCAAGCAAAGTTTTATTTTTAGGAGGCTTAGAAAAATAGTTTTAACACTTTCTCTCTGAATTTTGTAACTTTGCGCCTCGTCTAGAAGAAATCCGAAACGCGCGCATCATTGATGGCAGCGGCACATAAATTTTCTTCAAAGCGTGTGGATACATTGTTTCCTTATGCGCACCACATGTATCGATATATTTAGCACCTGAACATTTGTGGGCACACTGTCCACACAAAATGAGCGCGAAATATTTGAATGATAACTATATCTCAATTTGAAATTGGCTTAATTTTCGAGCAAACACACATATCCAGTCTTATTCCCAGAGGAGGACCCAACAATAAATGTTTATAAAAAAAATGTAGAAACAATAATTTATAGTAAATTTGTTTGCGTTCATGCTAATGAAATTTGTAATTTTTCCCCTTTCAAGCAAATCACATATTCAAGAGATGGTTATGAAATTGATGATTGTTCGAAGAAGTTTTTTACTTAGCTCGTGTTAATTGTGCTAAATAGATTAAAATTGATGGTTTTGTTGCTTGTCAGGCTTGATTGCAAGCTCAATTCACTATGTTGGAATATTTGTATACATATTTTAAGGTCGAGTGTGTTTGAGTAAGGTTTTCAGAATGCGTGGGCATTCATTACTGAATTGCAGACAAGGAGAACAGTGAACAGGGATAGAGGATACGAATTCAACCCTTGTTAGCTCTCAAAATCGCCTGGGTGTAAAACGAAAGCCAGCAACAGTTTTTACCTACAATTTCATTCATGGCGCAAATGTGTGCGCGCACATTTTTACATAAATATATACATAACAGCATATACACATGTAAAAACCGAAGACCTACGCCTACGACATATACTCAGCCCATCTGAACCCGAACCCGAACCCGAACCCGTGTCCGAGCGGAGGCCGAAGCGTGCATGGAATACAAACACGTTAATCGAAAGAAAGTTAGTGTGCGAGCTTCTTAATTTTGTCAGGGACTGTGGATGCTGTGTGTCCCATTCAAGTCCAACCTATGCTCGTACATTTAGTTCAGTTTAAGTCGCGCGTAGGAAAAGTTCTTACTTATATTCATAGACTACAACATTCACAAAAGCTCTGCATTTTTTTTGTGTAATTACCCCGGTGAACTGAAAATAGATTCGATTTAATAATCATCACAGGCTGTTAATAAATGTAAGTAGGTTGGGCGAAACAAACTATTTTACCAATATTCATAGACCATACCAACAAATTTAGTTCGATGCCTATGAGTGTGTGTGTGTGTGTGTGTGTGTATGCGTATGATTTAGGTCGATTAAGTCTTACATCCTTTCGATGCAGCTACACTGATGTGTCAATGAATGGATTGGTATTGGTGCGAATTTCAAAATTTGTATCCCAGTCGCTCTCGGCGCTGCCGAAGAGTGGGCTGGTACACACCCACCCTTAGGAATTTGCTTGAATGTGTTTGTATATGTAGCCACATATACATGTACATACCTATGTAGCCAAATACGCATACATTGTTTGTATGTGTAAATGAATGTAATCGAGTATACACATGTTAGTGTGTGAAAAATGAAGATTAACGTGTCTGAATGGATATTTTCTAACATTGTGGGATTTCGGTGTTATTTACTAGGTTTGCCGTGTCATTTATAATATGCATATGTATCTTTAAATCTGTATCAATATAACAATTAATTGTAGATAAATGTTTATATTTTTATACATACATATATATTTTTTAAGATTGGTATTTAAATAAACTTGTAATTTATTTTCTGAAGTAAAACGATTCCATTGGTCTCTACAGTTAAAAGAAAAATGCCTGAGGCTTATGGTAAATCATCACACCAAAGGTATAAACACGTCAATATCAACGGTATGGGGCTATCGGCGCAGAGCATTTCTCACTTAATATACGGAAAAGCCTATAAATACCGCAGAAAAGTAATTCCCCTCCTTTAAAAAAGGCAATTCAATTCCTTTCAATTCAATTCAATTCACGTTTCAAATAAAAGCACCAATATTTGTTTGTCCAGCACCTGCACCAATTAGTGTATAAAGCAAAATTTGCCTATTTAAGATACATTCGTAATATGTCTAAGTACTAAAATACATGTATGTACATATGTATTTTTTTTTGTACATACCTTTGTTTGTGGTATTTTTTTTTTTATTTTTGATCTGCATAGGGTACAAATCTTATAGTTTACCAAATCTTTACTGTAAATGTTGGATGTTACATGCCAGATGTATTTTTTAAATGAATTATCGAGTCTATATCAATATAGACCAAGTAAGAGGTTCTAGTCGGGAGCTCCCGACTAGGGGATACCCTGAACCCTCTTACTTCAACATCAATTACAGCTCGCGCTACGCGCTCACTTTGCTTTAGAATAAATAATAAATAATAAATTAAAAAAAAAAAAGTTCCCTTGATAGGGTTCGAACTTGCTACATACCGCACTACTTGCCGCCGCCTCTACTCAACAGCCACACCAATAATTAAGTTTCAATGAGAAAAAACCTATTAAAATAGCGGCACTAAAAACATATGTTTTTTGGTTAGTGATCAAAGTCAAATATAAAGAATTTTAATTTATTTTAAAAAAAAATGTATACTGCTTAAAGTATTAGATAATGTTATTTTATGATTCTTTTATTTTGCATGTTCTTGTAGAGTGTACTATAATATAAACATGCTGCTTATAAGATTGTTAACTTCTTTTCTTATATACATATATATATTTACAAACGGCAGGAAAATTCCACATATTTGAGAACATATCTTTTTGAAGCAGCAGCATTAATTGCGGGTCGTTATATGAGTAACACGCATTGCTGGATTTTAACTAGATAATTCTTTAAGATGCATTATTATCATAGTATGGTAAGTCTTAACTATCTTAACTAAAGTTCGATTTATTCCTACAGATGATTAATATGTGAGTTTAAGCTGGGTGTCCCAAGGCCGTTCAAAAGGTTGAAAATCGTTTAATAGTTTTTTAAAAGTGTGAACTATATATTTTCTTTAATGGGATGACGAGCATATATATGTCCGATATGTCCACCCGCCTGTCTGACCGTTTGTCCGTCCGTCCGTTGATCTCAGAAATATTGAACTATAACTCGAAAATTATATAGAGAGATATACCAAAGTCCGTATATGGGTTCTTCCACAGTATACACAAATAGAGAACTTGTACTTTGTGGATAAAAGTTGAAAAGTAGAGTCTGCCTTTGGAATATACACACACACACTCAGTTGGGGTCATATATTAGCCTTGAAATTTACATAAGGGGTTAGACTATAAGCACCGTAGCTAAACAATAATGCAATTTTCATAGTATGGGGCTAGGGGAATAAGTAAAGGTAGCTTCTCTTCCAACTAGAACACATCTCCTTGTTCGAATATCGAGAACTTTCCGGTTCTTTTGCCGATGATAATACCTTAAACTATTTGAAATAAATGTTAAAATCTTTTCAGAACAAATACATTCATATATACATATTGATAATCTTAATTTACCTGACACGTGGAAATGGTAATTTCTTAAACGCACGTAGCCGTGACTATGGGTTGCAGAGAAATGCGGACAGCAGTAAATTAGTCAAGGGCGAAGAAGATGGAGCATCATCAAATGTAAATACCGGGCTAGTTGAAGATGGCGGCGGAGTTCGAGCTGTTGGCGAAGTGTTTGTACCAAAAACGTTTCCAATGAGTTCGCAGGAGCCGTCATGTGAGCAACTGCGCGCTATGTGGATGTGAGTTTTTAAAAGTGAAAATGGTCGAACAACAATCCATCATATATATTACTTGCATAGATTTTCAAAGAGACAATCTCGTGGAGCGGAAATAACAAACGAAATACCAACATACCGTGACCCGTTCACATATAATGTCTGGGAACCACTTTACTCCAACTCTCGCCTGCTCGGCTCGTAAGTTCTCTAGAGAATGGTTGGAATTCGTTGAATTCGTTATTATTACTATCTCTTAAATGTAGGCTGCGAATGGGCGCAAGGGAACGTGCTCGATCGCCTGTTTTTGGCCGTGTTGTTAGCCGTGAGCCAATTATTCCACAGCGTGTCAACTTTGAGCAACGCCAGCGGCATCTCGATGGCAGCCAGTCTAGATTATATGGCGCCGAGGTGCGGCCAATAAGTGCCGGATCGGTGCCGGCACCGGCACCCTCATCACCCCGCAGGTCCAGCAAGAATCGACATATGGGCGTACCAAATAGCTCCTCCGGCAACCAAAACTCGGTGGCCGTACAGGGCAGCTTCCAAAAGCTTAAGGAACTCATCTGGACAGAGCGGGCCAAGGAGTTAACCCAACAACGTCGAGCTGAAGAGCTGGCAGCTCGGGCGGCTGTGCTCAAGGAAATCGCAAATGGGCAAAAGTATTATTTTCAATAATTATATTATATTCGGTACAAATAACACTTCTCTTCTTTTGCTCAGCATACAATCGTCGTACAAGCTGCCCTTCAATAATAACCAAGGAGATTCGATTCTGATGGATGAGAATCGCAGCCCCGATAGTTCCGGCAATCAATATTTGATCCATGATCGAATGTCCATTGCGAATATACAAAATTTTGATGCCAACAATAAAAATGCTGGGCACAGAAACAACGGAGCTCGAGCCTCCACGCGCCGCATCGGAAGTGCTTATGGGTCGGCTACTAACGGTAATAATCCGGCGCGTAAGGATTCCTATTTTTCTGGAAACTCTCCGGCCTCTGGTCAACCGAAAACAGTTACTCGCCTAAGGATTCCACTCACCGAAATCAATCCGGCGGCTGAATTACCAGAAAAAGATCAAACCGTTATTGGTATACCACGAACATACCCTATACGGCAATCGCATTTTAGGGAAAGGAATCGATCCCTTCTAAAACAGGTAGGACTCTGCATTTTTATACCCTGAACTCATTGCAAAATGGGTAAATGGGTAAAAATGGTGCATTTGGTGTTGGTAGGTTGGCAGGTTCAAGGTATCTCCTATAGTCGGACACTCCCGACTAGAGCTTGTGTTTGGGCGAAGAAATCTTTTGAAAAGGCAATGCTGGGGGCATAGTTCACAATTGCATTCAATTGAATTAATGTTTTACGCTTTTTTCAGTATCCGCCAAATGAATACTTTGAACGGAACACGAGAATATTGAAGAGTTTGCAGTTTGGGCCTGAGACCTCAGTGAGAGGAGATTCCAATGACAACTATTTGAGTCCCTACACATCCATCGAAGAATATGGCCCGAAACCAGGTATCAATGGTCTAATTTATTTAAGTAATGATCCAATAGATGAGGGTGGGTTAACTGCTTTGTCACCTCAAATACAGAAAACTAATCAATATGAGTATGATTTCTACAACAATAACGCATATTAAAGTATTTGCTTTGTTTTTTTTCTCTCAAGAACATGGACAATAATAGCTATATATACATACATATATACAATCTTATGTGAACTTTATACAATTCTATTTTTTTGTATACATATGTAATTATTTCTCTTGCTTTGTGGCTACAGTTGATTGATTATATGGGATGTGTAGCTTAAATTTAAACGTGTAAATACAGAATACATATTAATTAGCATGAACATACTTAACATAACAGGAGAAACGGTTGTCAATTTAAATACATATATACATATATATTTAAGAAGTAAACAAACTTGGTACGCCTGGTATAATGTACCTACATTACATATATAAGTATGTACATACATACATATCCAAAAAAAAACAAAAATATATAACCGAAAATATGTAATAATTACGCAAAAAAAAAGAAGAGAAACCATTTCAAGTAGTCATTTTTAAAAAAGAATCAGAAAAACAACAAAATACTTGTTTTGCAGTCTTTGCCTTACATTCACATTACCACATTCACCCATTACTTTATAACACTACTACTTAACATTCGAATAACATGAAGTGGCAACACATGGCACATCTCTGACAACAGCCAAACTAGATCTACATTGAGCCCACTATCTACAGCAGATACTATATATATTATTGGGTGTATTCTATAGATATAAATATCAATATCAGAAATATGTGTTGCCAACGAGTCTGTAATCGAATTATTACAATCTTGGAAGTCCTCACAATCTTTGTTAATCTCGACAGCAAATTAATTCTGGAATAATACTTGTCTAATGAAAACAAATCATTTGATATATCACATATCGCTTGGTCAAATTTCTATTTTAAATTTGCAAACTCAAGAATTACACCAATATCTTACGATTAAATATTCGACGTGCTGTAAACATAGTCCGTATGTACGTATGCGTGAATGTGAGAGTATATTCATATTGATTTTAATTTCCTATTTAGAAATAATCAAATGCTTCCAATATGAAAACAATCATCAGTATACAAGAAAGATTTAAAACATGGTACGAATAAGATCATAAAAAATATTAAATATGGCAATAGGCGGCTTTGAAAAAAGAGTACCTCTATACAAATTTCAGCAAAAATATATATTCTTTTTATTATTTACATATAACACGATCACTGTATTAGCTAGTTGTTTCTTATACAGACACCTGGTATGGTAATATACCTATGATCTAACTGTGCCTGAACTAAAAACACGTTAACTACTTAACTTAAAACAATCAAAATGATCATTCAATAAAGAAAATAAAAGAAGAAACATTTTATTTAATTGATGTAAAATGTTTATTTCTGCCTAGTTTATGATTTTTGCTACTCGTTGCAGCCTTTTGTGGGAAATATCAATTCAGGAAAGGTCACTTATTATATAAAATAAATGTCAATTTAACATATCGAACTTATCTCCAAAGTACTTGTGCTACCTAGTATATTAATAAGAGACTAATAATTGTGTACTAATCAACTATGTACCACTTCTTGGCTCAACAATGTGTAATATTTATGAAAACGAGTATTTAATATCTATCAAGAAACATTAAAATACCTATATACATATATACACAATTATTGCAAGTATGCCTGATTTTATTAACCGTTATGTACTCTATATTGTATAGATACTATTGTGTACAATTTTTGAATAAGGGCAATTTACCCATACACACACACACACACACACACACACACACACACACACACACACACACACACACACACACACACACACACACTCACACTCACACACACACACACATGCAAATGTGTTAGTGCATCAAAAAAATTGACAATAAATCTGTAGTTGTGAGTTCCGGACAATAAAAAGACATTTTTGTTACATATGTATATACATACATATAATCTATATAGTATGTATATAGATAATAACTTGGATGTATGATATATACATATATTAACATAAAAAAATATATTACAAATACATAGTATTGAATAAAATGTAAAATTGTCTACGCATGGTTGATGTTTTTGAATAATGCCGAAAGCAAGAAGAACCTAATAAATATTAAAAGTAATTAACTAAGAAGTTATTGTGAATCTTATTGTACTATATTGTAAACGAATCGTAACAAATATAAAAATTCGGATGAAATGAACTTTGTTTTTTTAACTGCGAAATAAATCACACTTTACCCATACATTTCCATGATCCATCATGATGTATCCAGTGTTATGATGTACGGCGGTAGAAATGGAACATTCTGTAAAGATTTCATTTGACTTCAAATAAAAATACACGAACACAACGTAGAGAATAATTAAAGTTTATTTTGTATGAATGTCAAAGAATTAATTGCTATCTGTGGAGTGGACAAATCTTATTCGTTAAACATATATAAATCTAGATAATTATAAATTGCATTTAATGTTATTTTTACCGACTACGCATACCACCATATATACAATCTTTAAATATTTCACACAATATGTACATATCTCTCTCTCTCTGTATACCTATGTCAGAAAATAGTTCAATGATAAATTGAAAAAAAAGTGTCCAAATCGAATTCCGTATATATGTATAGCCTTTATTCACTCCATGGTTATTTTAATACTTAAAATGGATATTGGTGAACCACATTTTCCTAAACTTCCAGCTTCATTTCGCATTTCATAATCAATTCAGAAATATGCTTAGAAGTATACTAAATGTACATAATAAAACGAATGTGCTCCCGTAGAGTGTGTCCGACTGGAAGACACCCTGTACCCAGCGCGCCTTGCTGACGTTGTTTTTAATCATTCGATTTTTCGATTTTTTCTGATACCTCGCTGTATATATAGTCATTGAGTAATATATATTTTTGTATATATATTATATTACTCAATTGTATAGTCTTTGTTCACTGAAGGGTTTTCAATATGTAATTCGGATATATTAGTGAATAAACTGATCCTTTTGCTTCTCATTGGGATCCATTTTCCTGAACTTCCAGCTTCCTTGACCGTCAAACTCAAGAATGTGCGTGTGGAATTTCCTAATAAATACATCAAAATACATCAAATAAATAACTGTGCTCTGTCAAGCCGATTAATACTAAAGGTATACCTAATCATATACCTATATTCTATATATATCTTACCACAGGGTTGGTCGGTGTGTTATTGTCAGAAGCGTGATGCCCATCTTCTTGGCAATGTCATAAATGGAGCTCTCCACGTCAATGGACACCGCGCTGGTGCACTCATCGAGGAGGGCATAACGCGGCCTTTAAATCAGATCAGATTTAGTCCAATATTCAGCAAGTTTAATTCAACAATACTAACTTGTGATAAAATAGACGAGCCACTGCCATTCGTTGTTTTTCTCCGCCGGAGAGAATGTCCTTCCAATCGCGCACAACATCAAAGCCGTCACTGCAAGTATGCACATTTAATTAATATATTTTAAAACTTGGATGAAGTATGGGGATAAAGTTGTTGTTACCGTTGTGCAATATGCTCGAGAGTGACCAATTTTAGAATGTTGATCAACTCATTTTCGGTGATGCCCTTGCGTTTCATATCGTCGCGCGTATCCGGATATATGATTTGATCACATAAGCTGCCAATGGACATATAGGGTCGCTGTGGTATATAGAACATGCAGGGCTTGTTTTCAACCGGACGCGGTATGTGCAGCTCTCCGGCATAGATTGGCCAGAGTCCGCTCAGAATGCGGAACAAGCTGGATTTGCCACAGCCATTGGGCCCGGTTATCAATAGATGCACGCCCGGCTCAATGCATAGAGTCAAACTTGGCACAACAATATCACAGTTTGGTGTAACGACCGGCACAGCCCGGAGACTAATCGACATATTGCCGGGATCATCCGTGTATATAATACGGCCCTTTGCTATCGGCTTGCCATCGCGGAACTCAATGATGCCATTCATTTCCTCATTCTCGACCAGCGTCGCCTTGCTGTAAATTCCCTGTGCCGTCTCCTCGAATACATCCAACATTCCAGCGACCCGATAAGTATATCCAGCCAAGGCTACAACCTCCTTGTAGGAGGACATTAAACGCTCGATCGCATCGGCTGCCGATATAAGCAGATTTCTGGCCGTCGTCAAATATTGGGTACGCTCGCTCACATTCGAGTCATTCACCTCGGCAGTTACGGGGCTATCTGACCTTTTCGATCCAGCCGTACCCGTTAATATTGGTAGAGAAACCATTATCATTCCGGTGCCGGACCATACATATTTCATGAAAAACTGCTCCAGCATTATAAACCAAAGCTTTTGGCTGAATATGCTATTCATTTGATTCACCAGTCGATTGTATGCGGTCCGCAGCTGCTGCAACTCCACCTAATTATCAAAAAAAAACAAATTTTCGATGGTATTTTTAACATATATTACAAAAGTTTGGTAAAGGCTGCAAATAATAGTTTTGAACTTTATCCAAAAAGTGCAATTCAATATTCACAATTTGAAAATGGGTGAAGATATCGAAAAAAAGGATAATTAATTATTCATGTTTCAAGTCTTTAGCTACATACATATATATATATCTCTATATATAAAACTGTTTGTCCTGACTGACTGACTGACTGACTGACTGATTGGTGATCAACGCACAGCCCAAACCGTAAGAGCTAGGAAGCTGAAATTTTCACTGTAGCTACCTTATGTGATGTAGGTGCATGTTAAGACGGGGTTTCGGGAAATTCCACCCGCAAGTGTAGCAAAATCGCGAAACACACACACACTCACACACACACACACATGCAAATGTGTCAGTGCATCAAAAAAATTGACAATAAATCTGTAGTTGTGAGTTCCGGACAATAAAAAGACATTTTTGTTACATATGTATATACATACATATAATCTATATAGTATGTATATAGATAATAACTTGGATGTATGATATATACATATATTAACATAAAAAAATATATTACAAATACATAGTATTGAATAAAATGTAAAATTGTCTACGCATGGTTGATGTTTTTGAATAATGCCGAAAGCAAGAAGAACCTAATAAATATTAAAAGTAATTAACTAAGAAGTTATTGTGAATCTTATTGTACTATATTGTAAACGAATCGTAACAAATATAAAAATTCGGATGAAATGAACTTTGTTTTTTTAACTGCGAAATAAATCACTCTTTACCCATATATTTCCATGATCCATCATGATGTATCCAGTGTTATAATGTACGGCGGTAGAAATGGAACATTCTGTAAAGATTTCATTTGACTTCAAATAAAAATACACGAACACAACGTAGAGAATAATTAAAGTTTATTTTGTATGAATGTCAAAGAATTAATTGCTATCTGTGGAGTGGACAAATCTTATTCGTTAAACATATATAAATCTAGATAATTATAAATTGCATTTAATGTTATTTTTACCGACTACGCATACCACCATATATACAATCTTTAAATATTTCACACAATATGTACATATCTCTCTCTCTCTGTATACCTATGTCAGAAAATAGTTCAATGATAAATTGAAAAAAAAGTGTCCAAATCGAATTCCGTATATATGTATAGCCTTTATTCACTCCATGGTTATTTTAATACTTAAAATGGATATTGGTGAACCACATTTTCCTAAACTTCCAGCTTCATTTCGCATTTCATAATCAATTCAGAAATATGCATAGAAGTATACTAAATGTACATAATAAAACGAATGTGCTCCCGTAGAGTGTGTCCGACTGGAAGACACCCTGTACCCAGCGCGCCTTGCTGACGTTGTTTTTAATCATTCGATTTTTCGATTTTTTCTGATACCTCGCTGTATATATAGTCATTGAGTAATATATATTTTTGTATATATATTATATTACTCAATTGTATAGTCTTTGTTCACTGAAGGGTTTTCAATATGTAATTCGGATATATTAGTGAATAAACTGATCCTTTTGCTTCTCATTGGGATCCATTTTCCTGAACTTCCAGCTTCCTTGACCGTCAAACTCAAGAATGTGCGTGTGGAATTTCCTAATAAATACATCAAAATACATCAAATAAATAACTGTGCTCTGTCAAGCCGATTAATACTAAAGGTATACCTAATCATATACCTATATTCTATATATATCTTACCACAGGGTTGGTCGGTGTGTTATTGTCAGAAGCGTGATGCCCATCTTCTTGGCAATGTCATAAATGGAGCTCTCCACGTCAATGGACACCGCGCTGGTGCACTCATCGAGGAGGGCATAACGCGGCCTTTAAATCAGATCAGATTTAGTCCAATATTCAGCAAGTTTAATTCAACAATACTAACTTGTGATAAAATAGACGAGCCACTGCCATTCGTTGTTTTTCTCCGCCGGAGAGAATGTCCTTCCAATCGCGCACAACATCAAAGCCGTCACTGCAAGTATGCACATTTAATTAATATATTTTAAAACTTGGATGAAGTATGGGGATAAAGTTGTTGTTACCGTTGTGCAATATGCTCGAGAGTGACCAATTTTAGAATGTTGATCAACTCATTTTCGGTGATGCCCTTGCGTTTCATATCGTCGCGCGTATCCGGATATATGATTTGATCACATAAGCTGCCAATGGACATATAGGGTCGCTGTGGTATATAGAACATGCAGGGCTTGTTTTCAACCGGACGCGGTATGTGCAGCTCTCCGGCATAGATTGGCCAGAGTCCGCTCAGAATGCGGAACAAGCTGGATTTGCCACAGCCATTGGGCCCGGTTATCAATAGATGCACGCCCGGCTCAATGCATAGAGTCAAACTTGGCACAACAATATCACAGTTTGGTGTAACGACCGGCACAGCCCGGAGACTAATCGACATATTGCCGGGATCATCCGTGTATATAATACGGCCCTTTGCTATCGGCTTGCCATCGCGGAACTCAATGATGCCATTCATTTCCTCATTCTCGACCAGCGTCGCCTTGCTGTAAATTCCCTGTGCCGTCTCCTCGAATACATCCAACATTCCAGCGACCCGATAAGTATATCCAGCCAAGGCTACAACCTCCTTGTAGGAGGACATTAAACGCTCGATCGCATCGGCTGCCGATATAAGCAGATTTCTGGCCGTCGTCAAATATTGGGTACGCTCGCTCACATTCGAGTCATTCACCTCGGCAGTTACGGGGCTATCTGACCTTTTCGATCCAGCCGTACCCGTTAATATTGGTAGAGAAACCATTATCATTCCGGTGCCGGACCATACATATTTCATGAAAAACTGCTCCAGCATTATAAACCAAAGCTTTTGGCTGAATATGCTATTCATTTGATTCACCAGTCGATTGTATGCGGTCCGCAGCTGCTGCAACTCCACCTAATTATCAAAAAAAAACAAATTTTCGATGGTATTTTTAACATATATTACAAAAGTTTGGTAAAGGCTGCAAATAATAGTTTTGAACTTTATCCAAAAAGTGCAATTCAATATTCACAATTTGAAAATGGGTGAAGATATCGAAAAAAAGGATAATTAATTATTCATGTTTCAAGTCTTTAGCTACATACATATATATATATCTCTATATATAAAACTGTTTGTCCTGACTGACTGACTGACTGATTGGTGATCAACGCACAGCCCAAACCGTAAGAGCTAGGAAGCTGAAATTTTCACTGTAGCTACCTTATGTGATGAAGGTGCATGTTAAGACGGGGTTTCGGGAAATTCCACCCGCAAGTGTAGCAAAATCGCGAAAAACGTTTGTATGTAACTTTTTTGTTTACCATCCGATCGGCCTCAAACTTATTTTCAAAGATCTTTGTTCAAATTCATTTGAGGGGTGTTTCACACTTTTCGAAAAATACGTTCCTCCTTGGTGGAAATGGAGGTCAAAGATTTGGTGGGTGACGTTTCGCGCTCAAATTCATTTCTAGAGATCTATAAGAAAAATCATTTGATACGTGTTACACACTTTTCGCAGAATTCAAACTTCTTCGGGGGGAATGCGATTTAAAGATTTTTTGGGCGAAGTTTTAAGTTGTGTCTGATTTGCTTCAAACTTATTTTCAAAGCTCTAAATAAGAACTTAATAAATACGTATTTCAGCGATTTGGGAAATTCCACCCGCAACAGTGGTAAATTGGTGGAAAACGGTTTTATGAAAGTTTTTGTTTACCATCCGATCGGCACCAAACTTATTTTCAAAGATCTTTGTTCAAATTCATTTAAGGGGTGTTTCACACTTTTCGAAAAATACGGTCCTCCTTGGTGGAAATGGAGGTCAAATATTTGGTGGGTGACGTTTCGCGCTCAAATTCATTTCCAGAGATCTATAAGAAAAATCATTTGATACGTGTTTCAGAATTCAAATTTCTACCAAGCGCTCTCCTCCTTGCTTCTCAAAAATTCAAGTAGGCTCTGCTGAAATTTAACAAGGCAGGAAACAACGTTGGCTACAGGCCTGTGGAGGAGGCGGTGGCGCAGGAGGCGTTGAAGAGGGTAAGTAGATATGTATGTAGATGTATGTATGTAGATGTATGTATGTAGATGTATGTATGTAGATGTATGTATGTTGATGTATGTAGATATATGTATGTATGTATGTATGTATGTGTGTATGTATGTATGTATGTATGTATGTGTGTGTGTATGTGTGTATGTATGTATGTATGTATGTATGTATGTATGTATGTATGTATGTATGTATGTACGCATGTGCGTATGTATGGGCGCATGTATGCAGGTATCCGGACATGTATTCTTACATATGCGCATGCATGCATGTTTGCATGTTTGAATATATGCGGAGAAACATGCATACATGTATGAACAAACTGGCATACATATGTGTATATGTATACCATATGCAAACTTAAGTTATATTTAAATAAAATGTAAGCATTAATATTACAAAATAATTGTCAATCAGCAGACAATCATTCACATATGTACATACCTTGTGTCCGCCGTAAAATGCAATTTCTTCTGCATTTGTTATAATACGTGAATGGATATGCCTTAAATAGCCATAACGATTAGCCTCCTCCGACACCAGTTGTCCAAATTTCGGGGACACAATACGTAATATGTGAGCGGTAAGCGCAATAACACTCACTGACAGCGCCGGGCCTGATAAGATATTGGCCTTCATCTTTCTAGAGGAGCGCATTAATGCCAAGCCAATTAGCATTAGATCAAAACAAGGCTTAGTCAAGCTGCTATACAAATGGGCAACAGAGCTCGCAAATACTGAAATGTCCTCGGTAAGTCTGAAAAATTGTAATAGTTTAGTATAGAATATGCATTAGAAAACATATGTGTGTTGATTATTTTTACCTGTGATCGGCATTTTCGATGCGTCCGTCCAGGTTCGATACTCGATAGTAGTTTTGATTTTTAAAATACAATCGATACGAGTGTCGCACCAAACGAGTTCTGTTCGACGAAGAAAGCAATGTTTAAAGATGTACATTCATTGAAATATATATAATTGTGTTTGTGTATGAGAGTCCTACATCAAGCTCGATCAAAACAATTAACAGGCTCAAGTGAGAAGTTCCCGACTGGGGGATACTCTGAATACTGATACTTCAAATTGATTTATTTATTTGATTTGTAACTATGGTGTAGCTAAAGAAGGAAGATACTTGAACTGTGCATATTATTGTTAGCATCTCAAGAGATGTGCTCAAAATAAGTTTTTTTTCGATTTTTATCGATTGCTTAGAAACACGGCAAGTTATCGGTTATCGAAAACAAACTCGTACTGCGCGGATCTTCCTGCTAGCTACGTTCGAAATTTGAAGTCTCTAGCTCTTATAGGCTCTGAGATCGACAGGCAGACAGACGACTCGACTGATGCTGATTAAGAATATATATGTATATACTTTAAGGGCTCGGAGATGTTGCCTTCTGCCTGTTTCACACATTTTCATTACCCATTTTCAATGGGTTCAGGCCTCGCTCGAGTGATATAACTTTTGGAGTATCCAATCTAATGAGATATAGAGGTACTTACCGAAAAGCTAAAGCTAGTTTACTCTCCAGAAATCGTATCATCGAATTGACGAATGTGGCTGGAATGGCGATGCCAAACCATTTCATCAATACAAGGGCGAACTGTTTGACATCCTTTCGCACGATAAACTTAACAATAGCTCCTTCCAATGCGGCCACATAAATGCTGAGGAATGTCCGAGATATTAGGCACACGGTGTGCACGGTTAGGAGTCCGGTCTCATAGCACAGCTTCTGCGGTATCATTATCTTAACCAGCATGCCAAGCTGCTTAAGGAATTCCCGATTTAGGCCCGGCTCCAGCATTTGCTTGTTTTTCAATTTTAATTGCTGCTCCACCAGCAGCTTCTCGGCCTCGGCCAACTTCGACTCTTCGTCCTGTCCATCTCCGATCTCTGAAGGCGTGAGCGCACCCTTGCCGGCAGTCGATTTTGATCCATTTTGATCCTTTGTGCATTTGATATTTTTAATATATGGTACAGTTACCTTAATAGTTAATGCAAATAGGGCCGTGCCCACCAAAGCGTAACTGAATGCCTGCTTTGGTAGTCCGGATTGTTCATATTTTTCCGCTATACGGCCGACATATTTAGAGAACACTGTCATATTTACATCCAAATATTATTTGATTTATTTAATATATATCTTCGTTTAGCTAACACCAAAGGTGTATTGTGTATTTTTTTAGCAAACACACAACTCGGAACGAAATTTAAATTTTCACACTGAAAATAGACAAAAAATAAAAATTTATCGTTACATCAACATCAATCAATCAATCATTTTATATAATACAATAGTTATATATATTATTTGGTATACGCATATTTTTGGATGGCATATTTAAGCCCCGAATTCTGCAGATCGGACAATACAAGCCGAGTGTTTTTTTTTGTTTTAACAGTTAATATTTTGTAAATTTCAGCTCTATATAGTATACAATTTATATATTTTGTTTAAATATTGATCGAGGTATTGGATTTTCATGGTTGAAAATATATTAGAGTTATTTATTTAACTTTAGCATTAATCGAATAATTTGAAGGCGTATGTAATTAACGTAGAATCAAATATATATAATCGCAGGTCTATAACAACCATAACGAACCTTGCACAGAACTAGTCTATGCCGATTCCTATTGCTTGGCTTAAATAATTGGCATCTGGTAATGCGATTACTTTTACGCGTATGCTAAAGGTCTCTCTCTTGACTAGCTCGCAATCTTAATCAAAATAATACATTGAAACGGACTCAGTGTGTTTTTTATGGTCTTTGGTTTTCCACTCTAACATGGAACCAAGGGCTTATTCCACACAAACACATGTCTGTGTATGCCCAAAGCACGCCCGAGAATTATAAAATAACCCGCTCCGATAAGTACCAAAAATTTGTAAACTTCAATTAACTAATCAATGAAGTTGATAACGCGCACCCGGATTAGATTAGCCGCAAGAACAAAAGCATTCTTTTCGCATACTGCGCTTCTTTCCGGGTTCAAATCGCGATAATTCAATACAAATTTTACTATCGACATGGCTAAAGTCAGCTTCGAAATCGAAACCAAGGGAAACTAGTAAAGCCCCAGTGTAAAATCTAATTTGGGGCTGACCTCATCCATGTGGATCTACACAATTAGTTTTAGCTAACATTGTTTTGGTTTTATGTGATATATAGATTCAGAAAAAAATTAAGAGTCCCCGACTAGGAGGTACCCTTAACCCAGCTGTCTATTTTCAAAGAGAGAAAGAGTAAAAGATGTGAGAGAAAGTAAGTGTACAAGAAAGAAACAAAGAGAACGAGATACTGCAAGGGGGTAAGAGACAAAATAAGGAAGGTGGAGGAAAAGATAGAGCTCAGCACGTGACATTACTAAATAGATGGAACCTTTTCAGGCTGGAGAAAGAGAAAGAGAGAGAGAGAGAGAGAGATGTAATTTTAGTAACTATAAAATGTAATTAAACTTAACGGGTGCCGCTCTATGCGATTCTCAAACCATTCCCATTTGAATGTAATATAAACAGTGGTTACAAACTAAACGTGTAATGTCAATTAATAATAATAAAATAAAAAGTATTTGTAGTAACTATTTAAACTAAGCGGGTGGTTCTTTGGTGATTCTCGTTAGAGTTTAAATCTGTGTTTAAAAATCGATATTTCTCGATGGGAGCTTTAATGATATTGTATTCTTATAACATAGAGTAATACAATTTTGAAAAAATGCTGCGTTTGTTGGATTTCTATTTACTATGAAAGTGTCTTATTATTAGACGACATTAGTTAGCCGATCCGATCGATTCCAAAAGAAATATACCCTGCTGCAAAAAGTAGCATCCGTATGAAGTTTCAGTCGAATGAATTACGTGGTCTTTGCCTGTCTTTCTGTGTAGGGTCGCAAATGTCATCTCAAGTCCGTTAAACTTTGCCCGAAAGCTCTGCCAGACACATTCACTAAAATTTTAGGCTATTAACGTAAGCAGGTAAATTTTGTTATTCGAATTTGCACCCTGGTCTCGAGCAAATGGGATTACACACGCTTAGGACAGATAAATGGCCTAACATATGAATTTCCAATGAAAGTAAGGTAGTATACACCAATAGCCTTTAGTCTGATAAGAATAACAATCGGCTTAGGAGCAAATATATTTCTGATTAGCCAACGGAAGTTGATAGAAATTGACGACAATTGAACTTTGCTACTTGTTGTCGTTTCGGCACGAAGCTCGTGGAATGTTGGATTGTATTAAAAATTCAATTAATTTTTTAAAAATCTACTTTTTAAAATTTTGCCAGAATAGAATATATTAATAGAAATAATATTGAAAGAATATATATGTTTGAATTTATGCATACAAATATAAAACATAAACATGAATAGTCTCAGATAAATTATATTGATAGGAAACAGCTCTGTTATCAGAGTTGAAATTTTCAAATTATCAAAATAACAGTTTTATAATATTAATATTATAATCATAAACGGGCTCACAAATTATAAGCAAAATAAATACGTGTATCTATGGATACGTATCTTCAAGGGTATTTTCTAATATTGGGCACTCTGGGCACACTGTTCTTAATTTAATTGCATATTTCGAAAAGGCGAAAAAAGTTCTTTTATGATTTGCGCGGCCGAGTTTATTTAGTTACATAAATGTATATTCTGTTAAAAAAAAAAATATTTCCGACCGATTGTTCCTATTGGAACTATATGATATATTGTAGACCGATGGAAAAAAGGGATTGCAATAATGTGAGGAGCGCACATTGAAGCTCGTAAGCTGCCAAGTTTAGTTAAAATATCTTGAAAAACAAAAGTGTTTTTCCACAAACACTTTATTTTCGACCTGTCTTAGTTTTATTGCGATAGTTTTAAGACTAGACGTGACTCTTTATTGATGCGGCTCTTGATACTGGATCAAGCATATATTTGTATATTCTTTATAGGGTCGGGCACTACACCGGTTAGAACTTTTCCATATTTTCACCTGCACATGAATCCAGGTAATTCAAGATATCGACCTCCTGATGCATAAGCATGAGTAAGTTGCATGATCGTGAATATATATACACATACTACGTAAAGATTTTGTTGCCTTTAATATAATTCTTTTGTTTATGAGAGCAAAGAGCGTGCTGGGAATTTTAAAGCATTCAGCTTTTTGTCGTGCTCGAACAGCTGATGCGTCGGGTACATATGTTTTACGGTGTGTGCACAAATGTTGTGCTTTTATTTGATAGTATTTGTTTTGCACTTTGTTTTCTCTATGTTCTCTATGCACTGTAATTCGTATGTCTCGATTACAAAATATTGTATTGCGAAAAGCTTGAATAACGACGCGAAGATAAAGATAAAACAATGCATAACTGAATCAGAGTACAGGGAATGGAATTAACAATTTAAATAAACATACTTTAACAAAGCACTCGGATACACAATTGTTAAAAGTAAAACTATTACAATTTCAATATAAATATATATGTATATTGTATATAAACCACTAAATTATTTATTAAGTTCTGCCCAAGCATGGCAACGCAACAAAAACACGACCGAACAATGCGAAAGCTTAAAGCTTAATGTTGTATGTACTTATGTACTTACTACGGGACTAGCTTAGTTTTCCGTTTTTCTTTTTCTGCCACAATCAAAATAAATGCATGCACTTCCTTTCATACATACATATACATATATGTATGTACATGTATATATGTAATATACCGTATCTACATCTAAGAACATAATGCTTTCAAGCCTATGAAATTGTTAGTATTCATGTATGTATATATGTACATATGCCTGCAGCCTTTAGATGTATTGTATTTTATTGCCATAAACAAAACAATTATTTCTATACATATGCAACTATCTATGTGTATGTATGTATATAGCTACATGCAAAACTGGAAATTTTTAAATACAAGAGTTGAATTGTAGTCAGAGTAACTAAATCAACATGTGTTCTTATATACATATAAGTCCAAGTACATATGTATATGTATGTACGTGTGGGTGTATTGTGTATGTATTTTTTTTTGAGTATATAATTCGCATTTACACGTTTAAGTAAATCAGTGAATCAGAAACTGTTGGATCTGAGCCGTAACACCGGATTTTCGGAATAAAAATCAACACCGGGCAACAGTTTCGAGTTGAGAAAGCAATTCAAGCGCATTCGTATATATTACGCTTAAAAGAATATTAATACTATTAGTATTCGAATTGATAATAAGTAATGATAATTTCTAAATTTTCCAAATTTACATTTCCTACAAATGCACTTACAAATATTATACATATGCTAAACTTACACACATATACAAATACAGGGTATATATATATGTATTTCGTCTGCCCTGTAGAAAGGAAATTTCAGGTTAGAAAAATTCCTTCCGAAGTGGAAACTTTTTGCTTGCCAACTGCTTCGAGCTCAATTTATAACAATTATATAATTATCATTTTAATATAATTTTTTAAAACAATATTTAACATATATATATATAATATTAATTATTAATACATGTAACTATACAAAATATCATAAATTCCCAAATTATACAAAAATATTGCATATATGTATATCATTTAAAGGAAACGTAAAGATGGACGACTGTAACAAATCCGAATCCGATTCCGAGGTAAGAACAAAAATACATTTTGAATAGAACTCAACTATAATCAAAATTCTTGTATATTGATTTTCATTTGATTTATTGTTCTAATATATATATTTAAAATAAACTGTGATACGAAGGGTCCAATTTGGAGATATTGTAAATAATAATAATTATAATAATACAAATTTAGGAATTTTTTGATGCACGCTCCGATCAATTGGATATGACTCCATTTGAAATGGATCTGAAAACTTCGCTGGAGGAAGCAAAGCTGGCTATTGATTATTTCTTTGACAACAAGTTCGAAGAGGCTCGAACTCTTTTGAAGCCGTTTGCCGGTTCGAGTCTATACCACTCAATGGGTACGGCAACATTTTCATTTCTGGAGGCAATGCTCACTTTTGAGCATATTGATGAGGCATCGGCCGAGCTGAAAAAGTGTGTCGAGCTCTGTCAACGTTTTCGAAAGAAAAACACCCTAACCGAATCTATTGGCAATACATTTAAGAAGGTAAGTGAATGTTTATTTATACATATAATAAATAAATCAATTACTTTTTCAGAAAAACTTTAACACGCTCACAGACCTGGAATGCCATGCTGAGCTCTGTATGGCCGAGGTGCTCCTGATGAGCGCTCTGCTCACCTTTATCGAGGACGAGAATCTCAGTGGACTGATCCGGGGCAGTCTGCAGGTGCGCCAATGCTATAATTGCTTCAGGTATCCACTCAGCCAAAGACGAGATTCACATCTGTTTGTACACATTTTGACAATTTTCTTACAGATTCTGTGGACAAATATTGAAGCATCGCATGTGGGATTCGAGCTCAATGAGTGTGAGAAATCATTTCAGTAGCGGAGTACATCTGGGTATCGGCACTTTTAACTTAATGATGTCCATGCTGCCGGTTCGCATTGTTAAAATACTGCAATTTATAGGATTTTCGTCAAAGCGGGTAAAAGTCTGTTACAACAATCCAAAACAATACATAATGTGTAATCCCATTTAGAACGATGGCCTACAGGATCTGCGTAGAGGATACCAAGAGAACGGGCTGCGGCAAATACTTTGTGCTTTATCCTTGCTCGGTTATCATTTGATGGTTTTGCCCATGGTCAGCGAAAGGCATTCCCACGAGGATCTGAGCATATGCGACGAGATACTAACCTCCCAATTGGCCAAGTACCCGAACAGCGTTTGGATGCTCTTCTTTAAGGGTCGATTCGAATTGGTCAATGGCAATCTGGCGGGAGCCGAGTCCTGGTACTTACGTTCTTGGAAATCGCAGAATGTTTGGCCACAATTTCACTATTTAAGCTTTTGGGAACTTCTATGGATCAATTGTATACAACAAAACTGGGATAAAGCTCAATTTTATGCCAACCAACTGCTCGAGCAGAGCAATTGGTCGCGCGCGATATACGCCTATCAATTGGCTGCCATCAAATTAATGTCATCCCCAGGATCAGCAGACAATCTGCAGAAAATTGATCAACTAATGACGGAGGTGCCCACGTGCAGGCAAAAAATTGCCGGCAAGTCGTTGCCAATGGAGAAGTTTATGGCGAAACGTGCCATCCGATATAAGAGCCAGAATGAGCGTCTGGTTTTGCCACTGATAGAGCTTATGTATCTGTGGAATATGTTCAAATTCATCGGTAAGGATTATCAGATCGCCGATGGCATTCTACAAATCATCGACTCGGAATTTGCCATGCTAAACAATCCAGGCGTTAGCCCAGCTACAAATTTATACAACGCCGATAATCGCGCATTATGTCTTCTCTTACGTGGATCTTGTTATGCACAAATGGGCAAGCCGGCGTTGGCTCTTCAGTAAGTAAACAGTAAAAATCATATAATCTTAAGGTAAATGTGTGTACACATCCCTCTCCTTTTAGGGATTTCTATGAGTGCATTGCACAAAGCGGCATTGTCGAGGATCACTTTATTATCCCGTACGCTTATGTGGAAGCTGCACTTTGTCACGCATCGGAAAATCAATCTCTGGCTATATCCATGCTACAGGACACCAAGTAAATGCATCATATCAAATTTATTCCTACCCTTATAAGACATTATTTATACCCTGAACCCATTCCCCATTCAAAATGGTTAAAGGGGGTATAATGTATTTGTGCAAATGTATGTAACAGGCAGAAGGAAGCATCTGCGACCCCATAAAGTATATATATTCATCATCAGCATCAATAGCCGTCTCTCTGTCCGTTTGTCCGTCCGTATGGGACTTGAAACTAGGTCCTCCTTATGCCCGCGCAGTACGACTTTGTTTCCGATAATCGATAACTTGCACGGATTTCAAGTAAATCCTTTTTTTTTGAGGATATCTCTTAGGTTTTTAAAGCTAGAATCCCCAAACTTATCATGTAGCTTCTAGAAAGCTATCAAGTAGCTTTCATTTTATAGCTATCGCCACTATGCTGCCCACCAATTTCAGCCACAATTTTAGTACAATTGACTTTTTGAAAACATACAAATATTCTACAATACAATAAGATCTACTGTTAAAAATTTCATCAAGATTGGTTAAGAAACACAGAAGTTATTAAAAGAAAACGTGTGGTGTATATATATATATACATGTGTATATGTTTACAGTCCACGTGTCAGCGGCATTTAGCGCAAAGCGCAAGAATTTCTGTATACATGTACACACACACATTCACGCGCGTCTTTATTGAATTCTATCAACAGCATTGCAATTGCGATTGTATTGCATTCTGTGCTGCTTTAATTTTAATCCGTTTTTTTCTCATTAAGACTTAATTGATGGTGTGGCTGTTGGGTAGAGACGGTTGCCAATAGTGTGGTCCGTTACGAGTTCGAGTCCTATTGAGGACACACATTTATTGGTTTTAAATTTATTTTTATTACTGCTGAAGCAAACGAAGAGGGTTCAGGGTATTGCCTGGGAGTCGGGAGCACCCGACTAGAGCCTCTAACTTGTTTTTAATGTGTTTTATCTATTTACATTTAAGAAAAAAGTTCTCAAAATTCGCATTAGAGTCGCGACTACACTTTAGAATACATATGGCTCTCATGGATCTCAATGGCAACTTGGATACCCACAAATAGTTTAATTTGTTTGTTTTTTTTTTTTTAATTCCTTTTTAATTTTATATTTTGTATTAAACGATCGGGCGAAGGTCAATAAAGTATGCGAATGTCAATATAAATAATTTGTATATTATTTATTTAGTCGTAAGAAGTCAGGTTTAATCATAAGATACGTGAAGTCCACCCTAGTGTTTGGAATCTCGAGCAACAGGTTGTTTGGGCATGGGGAAACATAAATTTAAATAATATATTATGTGGTTTATATGTACGTAGTTATTTTATTATAAGAGTAATTTCTTTCATATACATGCAGTTAATTATATGTATACATATTTCTCTATAATGTAAGAAGCATAATAATAATAAGGGGGGGAATACTTTATTTATTTATTCATATTTTTTATTATCATATTGTAAAAATGTGTTGTGTGTTCATTGTGTTTATAATATATATAGTGCCATAGTAGGATCGATGTTATAATAAATTTTCGTTTTTGCTATCTGCATTCTATTATAAATACTTTGTAATGGTGATGGTACGGCATCCTTAAAAGCACAATTATTCACATATATATATATATATATATATATATATATATATATATATATATATATATCTATGAATATAAGTGTGTTTTATTTGAAATCAATTTAATTTTACATTTAAAAATGCAGAAGCCTTATCTAGTCAGTACTATTTACGCGTAAGGATTAACATTGTGTGTGTTTGTGATTTTATACACTATTTTTGTATCGAAAGGAATTGCTTAATTCTATACATAATAAATAAATGTACATTCCAGCATTAGCATGTGTTGGCTGATCGGAATTCGTGTCACAGTTAATAACTTTTTATAAAATCTGCATTAATTCGATATTATTATTAACGCGCCGTGCTACATGAGAATGTATGAATGTGTGTACTTGTAATAGCATTTTTTTTGTTGCTTTTTTTTCTCGCATATTTTTTAGACTTAACTTATTCTAGAAATTTCAGTTATTAGAGCACCTGTGGACGCGTTGTAGCCAGCCTGTCAAGGTTGAGTTTTATAACCTTGACCGACACGACACTTATTCTGTTTTTAAGTTTGTTGCACTTTCTCTACACAATCTTTTCGGGTGATTTAATAATGCTTAAATTTTGGATATTCATTAGATCAACATGGCAATGGCTTAAAATTTAAAGCAATTAATTAGCATGTATGTATGTATTTTAACAGAATTATTATTAAATTTATGAACACAAAAAGAGTTGAAATAAAAACGAATTAAATTTGAGTAAAATGGTGCCATTCAAACATTTACATTTACAAACCTAATATAATTTCTATTTTTTTTTTTTTGTAATTTCTAAAAGAACTAAAAGAATTACTTTTATTTAATACATATACGTGTGTGTACTATGTGAGTAAAGGAGCATTAATGAAATCATTTTGTCGATGAATGCCCTCAGAATATATTGTTTACAATTAACAGTTTGAATACGATAATTAAATTTACATTAAATGTAATTGCTTAAAACTACACTTCTTTTTTGTTTGTTTTTATATATATTTATAAGTATGCATGTTGTAACTGCTATAAAAATCTATGCTATATGAATTTAAATGCTATGTAAGCTGTCAAACGGTAAAAAGCTGCTGTTTGCATTAATTTATAAACAATAAATAAAAACAAATTAGTGTGTATGTAGAAAATTTTGCATCGAGCAAATTATGCAAATATATTACAGTATATACAAAATATATATATATATATATATATATATATATATATATATACATAAGTATTGATATTTCGGGATTCAAACGTCACAATTGCAGCAAAATTTCAGTATGAATACTACGTTTTTTGTTTTTTTACATTTTAGGATATTGTTTGTAATGTATAGTAGATATATAATATATATATATATATATACACATACTTGTATATATATATATAATATATCATTATTATTAATATGTATATCACAAGTTTGAAGAGAGTAGAAAGTGGCGAATTAACTACAATTGGCAGTAAGCGGCGGCGGCACTCGACCGATAGAGATTAGAATCGAGAATCGGACATATCTTATCCATATATATATATGAACGAATTGCCTAGCAATCGATGCCATTAACATTACTACAAATTTGCGATAGGGCGTTGGACACGCTCCGATTTTGCTGATGATGCATCACACCTTCGATTCGCTGTTGGGCATTGACATCCTCATTGGCGCGAAAGCGCAAGAAACCCTGCTCAGCAACAATCATGCTATCCGAGGCACTTGAAGGCGAAGCTGATGCGGATGCGGCTACTGTTGATGAGGCAACAATTTTCGGCTCCAACTCGGAGGAGCTTGGCACACTGGCGGCGGCGGCGGCTGCTTCCTGCTGTTGATGCAGATGATGTATGGATTTTGAATTATTTTGTACATGCAGGTGTTGTGTAGAAAGTGGATTTGATGTGATGCTGTTTTCGCTTGCTATACAATAACCATGCTCATTGTTGCTTATCAAATTGGTGCACTCTACATTACTTCCTGATATCATATCGTCGTCGTCGTATTCCTCCTCATCCTCCTCCTCTGAATTGTTGTGATTGTACTGCGGATGTTGTTGCTGCTGCTGCTGCTGATGCTGTTTAATTTGGTGTTGCTTTAGCGTCAACAATTCATTGCAAACGCTTGGTGTTAATTCAAAATCATTTGTAGCTAATGAACGATTAATGGTATTCAGAGTGCGTCCACTCCTTTGAAAATAGTGCGAACGTTCTGTGTGTGCCAATGTCTGTGCACCGTTTACTCTTTTACTGCCTGGTACAACAGTTATTGCACGACCAGGACCAGGACCAGGACCAGAGCCTTTACCCGTACCAGTTGCTCCATTAACAATATTGTTTAGAGTGCCACTCTTTCGCACACCATTGTAATGGGCGCCGCGCTCGTATGAGTTATAGCTGGCGTAACGGATACCGTTTGAGGAGGAACATGAATTGGTTGAATTGGAACTACGTCGCTCCGGATTTTCAAATGTTGCAGCATCGAGTGTCGAACTATTATTATTCGGTTTTCTATCACAACACTTTGTCAATTTGAGATTTTCTCGCTCTCGGTCGGGCCAGCACTCATCGCTCGGATGTGAGCTACTGCCGCCAATGGATTTTTCTTTGAATACGGGCCGCTCAAAGTTATTAAATTCATAGCTTGAGTTCTCTTGCAATGGCTCTGAATAGCAGCTGTCACTCTGCAATAGCAGCATTTGTTGCTGAGATGTACCGGATGATCCAGACCCAGAGCCAGATGCTGATGCAGATGCAGAACCAGAGCTGACTGGGTTTTTGCCCAACTTTTGCATGGCCCCAACTCCGACTCCGACACCAACACCGACGCCAACAGCACCCGTTGAGCTTGTACGTAAATCAAAATTTGGATTTTCGTAATGATCGGTTGTGGCATCGGTCATATAATCGGCGCTCATATAGGCTGCCGGTTCATGTGCCGCACGCATATTATGATGATGATGATGTGGATGCGGATGTGGATGTGGATGATGTTGATGGTAACGCGAAGAAGCTTGTGGACCATATTCGGCTGTTATGTTGTGATTAATAGCACTTCTTATTGAGCCAGTATCGTAGGGTCTCTGGTACATTGGCTCCTGCAGCTGATACTCAGTATTGCCGCCGCCGCTCGGAGAAGCTGCCGATGGCCCCGCCAGCGAGTTCAGCGCATAGCTATCATCATATATCAGCTTGCCGGTGCGCATTGTATACGTATGAAGATTTGTATTGGCATTGCAAATGGCTGGATAATCAGTTTCAAACTGTTCCTGGCTTGAGCTCGATGTGCACGGCAAAAAGAAATTGGCAACATTTGAATGCGAATTGTGATGATGATGGGCAGCAGCAGCAGCACCGTGTTTTTCTCTCATTACACTGCCGGTGGCATTTGCAGCATTGGCAAAACCGCTCATCCCAGCAGCTGTCCCGCCGACCATTCGGACATCGCCGTTAACGGCGACGCTACCGTTGGCATTGCTGCCAACGCTGGTTTTTAGGCCCGTCACCCATGATATCAATGTTATGATTGCTATCTCGATCAGACGCAATGAAAACTGATATCCCCACTGCATCCAATCGACCTCAACAATAATATTCGCCTGGCTAATCAGGGGTCGCGCTGCTGAGATGCAAACCGCGCCAAAGATTTGCAGAGCAGCCAATAAAACAAATAGCAATGCTGTTGCAATTGTGATATGAATAGCATAGGATAGATTCTGATAGCCATGTATATAATTTTGGGATTTGCTTCTTAGTATGCGCTTCAGTATGCGATATAAATACAGATACAAGAGTCCCAAGCTAAGGCATATGAATATATAAATAATTTGGCATATAAGCGAAAGAACCCGTGGTGGTGGCGGTGGATTGGCCAGACTGGTCGAAGGCGACATGCTAACCTGTTGTTGCTGCTGCTGCTGTTGGCGGCGAAAATATTGCTGCTGTTGCTGTTGCTGAAAGTACAAGTGATGATTTTGCAGGGTATACGATTCGACATAATGCAGGGTAATGCAGAGTCCAACGTGTACACCACAGCCGACGACGACGGTTAGCGGTCGCACCAGCGCTGAGTAGCGATTGTTTTTGTGATTCAAGGACTTTAAAAACAGAAACAAAATGAGCACAGCGAAGGCAACAGTCAAGAATGTTGATGGCAAATTCAATAAAAGCTCTGCGGCAAATATTGGAAAAGTTCCATGAATATTGTAAGCATCGAAGCATAAGTAAAAGATGCGCATTATACAAATGGCAATAAGTATGAGGTAGATGTACACAAAATATGACTGGGCGAATAGATGCGTCAGCTTGTCAAAGGTGACAAGCTTGTAAAGCGAATAGACTGCCAAAATCGTGTACAGAATGACCGATAAATAAATATGTATGTTCCACGCCCACGTCCATGTGGTATGAGCAGACGCCGCCGCAGCCGCAGCAGCACCACCACCCACAGATCCTGTGCCTTGGCCTGTGGCTGTGTCAGCAGCTTTTCCTGCATTAGTTGGCCTTGCATTTGTCGTTGCAGATGTAAATGATGTGGCAGCCGCCTCACCAATTGCAGCTGCAGCCGAAGGTGTGGTAACTGCTGCCTGACTAGCATTGTTGCCAAACAAATCTCTTGGCACGGCATCGTCCAATTTTCCGGCCGACTGTTTGCTCTTATTTATGTTTGGACTAACCGATGCAGATGCAGCACTATCATCACTACTGCTGCTGCTGCTGCTGCTGCTGCTCTCCTTTGCTATTTCCGCATTATCGACCGAAACTATCGGCGACGCTGGCGGTTGATGATAGTTGACCAAGGGTCGCTGTGTCACATGTCGTAATAGAACAGCAGGTATGTCACCTTTCTTGCCATTTGATCCTAGTATGCGTCTAATGTTCGGCAGAACCTCTTGCCTCTTATTTGCATTGGAGGATTCCTTGCTCTTGGTCACGCCAATATCTTGCACATTATGATAATTGGCATTGTTATTATGATCCGACGCTTCAACGGCTGCGACTGCATCATTGCCCGGCCGTGACGGTGTATTGAGTGCTTTTTTACGATCTCCGGCGACGTCAAAGGCTCCTCCTTGCATGCTGGTCGCGACAAGTGGCTTTTTACCATCCACCGAACTACTTGGATAGCTTTCATTTGCATTGTGATTCGAATTTCCATCCGTGTTGCCAATTGAGGCAGCAAGATCGGGCGGACGAAATGGTATCCTTTCATGGCCAGGCATCAGACTGGGTGGCGGTATCGGCCGCCTGTTATTAAACGGTACCGTATTTGATATAAGACCCTCGTTATTAGTGCCTCGTAACGTGGGCTTGTCTGCAAATGGGTTTTGATATTCCGGCGGTAATGGCGGCGTAAAAAATGATCTTGATGGTGGCGAGTACGACGGAATATCTCCAGGATACATTGGTATTGTCGGCTGGCCGTTGGCTTTCTTTAATAAGTTAGGAACTAGTGTTAAACAAACAAAAGCATCAGATTAAATGAATATCGAAAAATTGCGATTAGTTTGGAAAAGCTATAATTACTTGATGGCATCGGTGTTGAATTGTATTGCATTGTGTGTCGATGACGATCGCGGTCATGACTGCTGCTGTGATGACGATTTGGATTCGGGTACGTTGGATTATTATTACTCTTCAAGATATCAGCATTTGGTGCCGAGGTTGGCAAAGCGTGATCTCTTTCCAAGTCCAGCTCATAGTTTCTATGGCGAGCACCGTTATGCTGAGCTTGATTCGAGGATTGGTATCTAAAATATCAATAAACATTAATCACTCTTATTCCACAGCCAGGATCAAAACATGAAAGAGAGTTGGGATTGCCCGAATAAAGATACCCTGCACCCAATGCCTAAATGCAAACTTATTTTATCATCGTTCCAGGGTTATCCATTCTTGAATAAGTTAGATGTTTGGATCATCTTTACACACATTATTAGGTAAGTTCTTGCTAGCTTTAAAAATTTTCTTTTTATGAAATGTATCATCGGGATAACTTTGAATCTATATGAATAGTTTTCAGACACACAGATGAAGAACGAACAAGATTATATCAAATCGACTGTTTGGGTTTCTTCTGCTTGCATTGCACATTTCTTGAGAAAATTAATTTACTCTATCCAAGCGAATAATAGATACTACAAGTATTAGATCGAGCTAATTAACTTACCGAAGAGTTGTTAGAAGTGGCGTCGCGACAGTGGTGAGACCCAAGATATAGCTATTGTCGGGTATGCTTCGTTTGGTCGTTGACGTTGTTCCATAGGCCACTTTGATCAAAACAGCGGCTACACTTCGCTCCAAATTGTCCAACTTGTCCAGATATCCGCTTGCCGCAACGGAAGATCTACCTAACCCGCTGCCCGCAGTACTACTGTTGCTTAACATTGACTTACCGGCGGCACTTCGGAAGCTGGTGCTGGTATTGTTCGAATTGGCGATGCCCTTGAGAGACAAGTGCTCTTCAGCACTGCCGGCTATGTTTTGTTCTTCGACTAATATCGAATGTGATGAGCTTATGAGGTAAAATGTTACCAGTAGTATCGCAAGCATGTTACAATTTTGCCATAGAGCTTTCTTAGTCTTGCAAACAATTGGTGCCTCCTTAGCAGAGACAGAGACCGAGACCGAGGCATGCCTGGCGGATCTGCGTCGCTTTAAAGTAGTATTTACCGCAGGATCATTTGGAGTGTTACGATTATAATATGAAGCTTTAACGGGGGGCTTCTGGGTACATATTGATTCAGACTTCTTTGATCTTGATAATTTGACATTTAATACTGATTGGCAACACTCTTTTCCAGCCGTTAAAATTGATGTTACGCCGGTAAAAGCCATTCGATCACATTTCAAAGCATTGGCTGTAAAAAATATAATACAAATAAAACAGGTAAGAGTGCTGATATATATATATATATATATATATATTTGATATCGTTATTATCGATTTCCTAAAAACGAAGCAAGGTTTTCAACAGGTGAACCTACGTACAAAAATTCAAGTCCGTAGCGCTCTTATGCCTTCCGAAACCGGCGCGATTATTCATTCAGACAGGGCTAGATCGATTTATTTATATATATATGTATGCATGCATGCATTCTTGTTTTCTAATACCAAACGCTGGCCAAACTGATTTGTCGCTGTGCTGCAAATTTAAATATAACGAATTTCTACCAAGCGCTCTCCTCCTCGATTCTCAAGAATTCAAGTAGGCTCTGCTGAAATTTAACAATGCAGGAAACGTTGGCTCCAGGCCTGTGGAGGAGCAACTGTGGAGGAGGCGGTGGCGCAGGAGGCGGTTAAGGGGGTAAGTGTAGATGTATGTATGTAGATGTATGTATGTTGATGTATGTATGTATGTACGCATGTGTGTATATATGTATGTATTTACGTAGTACGTATGTATTAATGAATGTATGTATATATGTACATATGTATGTAAGCATGTATGTATGTATGCATGTATGTATAAAGCCCCGTCTTGAAATGCACCTTTATCACATAAGGTAACTGCAGTGAAAATTTCCGCTTCCTAGCTCTTACGTTTTTGGCAGTGCGTTGATCACCAAACAGTCAGTTAGTCAGTCAGAACACACAGTTTTATATATAGAGATAATTATTTTAAACAGAATATTTTATAATTATCTATTAAACTCTTAAGCTCACCTTTGTGGGATTTCAGTACAGCATCTCGAAATTTGACTTTTATCCGGCGATTTATTGTAGACATGTCGGTTGATTATTGTTTATGTCCAATTGTTTACCTGGCAGGTTTTGCTTTCACTAACAGGTAACAATTAAATATGTTGTCGGCATAATTGGAGATTATCTAACTGGAAGACAAAAGTTTGTGTTTATAAATCTATTTGTTGTGAGCTTCAAATACAGGTTAAAGGATTTTTGGCTTCGGCTTCACACTTATTGTCAAAGCCCTACATAAAAACGAATTGAATATATTGTATTCCAGCCGCAACTGCTGTAAAATCAAACAATTGGTGTTCAATTCTTTCATATTATAACTACATTTATTATTATTTAACTTAGCAAATTATGTTTAATGCTGCAGGGTGGCTCAAAATTGGAGACAAGTCAATTCGCGCTTGGGACTGGGCCTCCCATTGCAAATACAAATCAAATACAAAATATATATAGTGGTCCGATCTGGCTAGTTCGCATAGAAGCAGACAGCCGGAAATGGCTATATCAACCCTGCGGTTGATGCCGATATGGAATATACATACATATATACTTTATGGGGTCCTTCTATGCGTTACACATTTTGTGGCAAAATAAGAATACCCTTTACAAGGATATGAAAAGTCCCCTTACTTATTTTTTGGAAGATCTTAATTTCAAAATATTTGTTATTGAATACATCTAATACATCACGATACATCTGATGGATCTTATAAGCCCCATAAAAATGAAAATGTCAATTACGAACGATTGGATGGTGTCAACAAGGTGTCGTGGATTATATTGACCTGACCTTTTTTTGATCGGTATAAAATTTATCATATATAAAATGTATATTAAAACGATTAACTACGGCTGTTCTCGGCACATCGAAGATTGAATACCCTGTAGAAATTTGCCTTACAACTTTGCAGATATTAGAGAATGTTAATGGTCTTTAATTCGGAGTTTGGTAAAACAGGATATCTTCCATCCAAAAACTAATTTATTAATCGATTCTTCACATAGAGCTATATAATATATAAGTGCGATCTTAATAAGATTTGAATCATGTATAATTAGCAAAGTAAAACTATTATATAAATGTCGGGTTTTGTCAAGATATCTTGATAATCAAAACAGTTTTTCAAACGACAAATTTATTTTTCGGCCGCTATATTATTATATACTGGGTTGATGTTAATGAGATTTTGCATATTTGTTAGGAGAGATTGGTTCAGATATCTAATTTTTGTTGTCAAACATACGAATGAAAGCAAAAAATTATTTTTTAATTGTTTCATAAAATGAAAGACAAATTGAATTTTATCTTCCTATAGTCTTCACTTGGATACTCCGTTCATTTAAACAAACTTTTTGTGTGTGTATTTTGCTGACATTACTGCTGTCAAAATTGGTAAATCACAATAATAAAAGGAACATCTTTGATTCACTTACATACATACATACCCGCATACCTACTTTTGGGGTCAAGTTTTGCTAACTCTTCGCCTCTCTTGGGCGACAAAGTGCATTCTAAGTTGCGCAATTGCGCAAAATTTGTCCATACTGGCTTATTATGTTTTTTAAAAGTTGGTAACACTAACAATATTACTAACAACTACGTATAAGACTCATATGCAATATTCACACAATGCATACATACATAATGCATATATGCATGCATATATATATATGTATATATATATACATACATACCTACATAGTACGCCTATAAATCAGGTAGGTTGCCAGATTAATTTTAATCCATATTCCAATCAATGTCCGCAGTTGTCGAATAGAAGTCGTTGTTGCATTCATAAAAATCATTATATTTTCTAAACAGTGGTCACACACATTTTTATGTTATCCAAATTTTCAGTGGTGCAGTTGTATGGGTATAAACATACATACCACATAACATTTATGTATATGTATTTCTACATCAAACAAGTTTCTTTGCACAAGCACACATATGTATACATAAAGTTACATATGTATGTACAAACATATGAATATTAAGGTAGATTCCATGTACTTATGAATGTGTAGATCCACACGTATTAAAGCGAATGGGCGTATCACACGTACTGTCAATATTTAAACACTACACAGCATCTATATACTAATATTTAAGCATATAAAATTACTTTACACCTTATTATTAACACAAAAGAATTCGCTTTCTTATTTTGTAATTCTCAATTTTTCTCTTTTACACAAAATGGCGTAGCCACTAGAGGTGAGAAAAAAAACATCGACACATTGCCGTTTCGATTTTTCAACTACTTTCAGAGTTTCCCGATTATTTTCGCCTGTGTTTTATATCGGGATGTCAGTGCGATACTATTATTGAATCTGAACCGTTTTCATTGTTCGATAATTTAATTTAATTTTCTTTGTGCGATAATTTAATTTGCGTATATGTAATAAATTAAATAAATCGAAATTGCACGCATTATGTATTGTGCATTTCTGCCTGTTTGCCATTTTAAAATCCAACTGTGTCAAAAAAGCAAAGTTTCTTGCATTTGCGGATTTCCATTGTATTCAACTAATTATTTCCAATAATAATTTTTATATCTTTGCATGACTCGTTACTGAATAAACCTGAATTTTATTTGATTTGTTTTTGAAATTATCGCCAAAAAAATATCGTCATCAACCAAGTGAGTTGGTAAAAATATCTAAAAATTTTTAGAGGTATCGATACAGTATGAACATTCATAACGAGAAGCAAAAGGAGAATACACAAAGAAAAAAGAATCAGAGTAAAAATTAATCTTATACTAAATTAGTAATCAAAAGAATCAAAGTCAAAAGAATATTACTCACTCATATTCTGAATTAAACATGGATACATTTGATGTATCTGATAGGAGCAGGTAAGAATGGCTCTCGCAATGGTTATAAAAATTAATGTTCCCGTCCCAGCCAAACATCATTGATATTTGTGCGACTATACAACAAACGGCTTAACATTCATGTCTATATTGTACACTCTATATGCTTTTTAGACTTGTTTTAACTAATATTAATTGTTTTAGTTGGTACTTTGGCTCCATGTCTCGGCAAGATGCCACCGAAGTATTAATGAATGAGCGTGAACGGGGAGTGTTTTTAGTGCGCGACAGCAACTCAATTGAAGGAGACTACGTCTTGTGTGTGAGGTAAGTAAACAGTAAGAATATAGAAATTATTTCGCAAAGCTTAACTTCAACTTTTATTTCAATTTAGAGAAGACACCAAAGTCAGTAACTATATTATAAACAAGGTGCAGCAGCAAGACCAAATTGTTTACCGAATCGGCGATCAGAGTTTTGAAAACCTTCCAAAGCTTCTGACATTCTATACGCTACATTATTTGGATACCACGCCTCTTAAGCGTCCCGCGCAGAAAAAACTGGAAAAGGTTATAGGAAAATTTGATTTCGTGGGCAGTGTATGTGTATCAAAGATTTATTCTGAATTGAAAATTATCTAAACGGATACGCTTTATATTTAGGATCAAGACGATTTACCGTTTCAAAGAGGTGAGGTTCTCACGATAATCCGAAAAGATGAAGACCAATGGTGGACTGCCCGCAATTCCACTGGCCTAGTTGGACAAATACCAGTTCCCTATGTTCAGCGCGTAAGTTTTTACAAGCTTAATCACGTTTTTAAACGTGCAGTTGATTCAAACTTTTAAGTCGGTGAAAAGTAAATCCCAGTCAAAGGTCCCTTTCACTTAGTTTCGAAAATACATTTAGCAAAGATATTAAATATTGATATCCTTATTTACTATTGTATGATTAAAGATTTATATTATAAGAAAGTCGATCGGATAAAACAAGTTTTGGTCAATTCAACCTTAGGCGTCCATATTCCACCCGGTCATGGATTATCTGAAAAGTGTAAAACATTTTCAAAAATAGACTTAACTAGTCTATAATGTATATATATTCTAGGTTAGAATTCATAACTGAGTTGATTTAGCCCTGTCCGGACTAGCTCCTACTGCTCCTCTCAGTTCATCGATAACTTGCCCCTTTCAAGCAATTTATTAGAATCGAGCATATACATCATATTATTTTGAGATTATATCTTAACTTTTAGGAGGGAGCTAGAGTCACCAAAATTTCAGTTACAGCTCCTCGCGAAGTATATATTGATAAGGTACCCCATAAAGTATATATGTTCTAGATAAGCATCAACAGCTGCGTAGATATGGCCGTGTCCATCTGTCTGCTTGTATGCGTTAAACTTTTGATAGGTCCGTCATTCTGATGCAGGCAGTACGTGTTCATTACTTTCACCATGTTCCTTATGCACATGCAAAACCTTAACAACATCGGATAATATCATACAGCTGGCATATAAATGACATGGTTCTTGTATTGCACAATATTCTGTGTTCCCTATTCACTGTTATTACATCTTCGGCGTGTCGGAGATATCCTTACTGTATCATTATTATTAGTTTTTATTTTTGTTTTTGTTGTTTTTTGTAGTACGACGATTCTATGGAGGAGGATGGTATTGAGCATATGGCTAGTTTAAACAGCAGCTCTTGCATTGCACGTTCAAACATTTCCTCTGGCATTTCCAATGTCGACTCACCTTCCGTATCATCCAGCCAGTTTAGTACTTTGAAAAGGACAGACTTGAACGTGCGTAATTTATCAATAACTTATATGTATATATAAATCTATAATCAAATCTTTTTACGCAGCGCAAGTTGCCAGCTCGAGCTCGTGTTAAACAGTCGCGAGTGCCGAATGCATATGACAAAACCGCGCTAAAACTGGAAGTAGGGGACATAATCAAAGTCACTAAAACCAATATAAATGGACAATGGGAAGGGGAGCTAAATGGACGCAAAGGCCATTTTCCATTTACGCATGTCGAATTTGTCGATGATTGTGATGCAAGCAATAACTGTGCGGATATTCGATTAAATAACGATTGGGCGGAACAACAATAATTTTCAATTATAACATATATTTTAAGTTAAGAGAATATATTAAATTGTAATGAATGAGTGATGTTTACCAATTGTTAAAATATTAAACATATTGATTAATCATAGATAATTAAAAAGAAAATGCGGATCACCAAACAAATTGATTGTCCTTGTAGTAGGAAGGTCCAAAGTAATCCGTTATCATATAAAAGTCGTTAACCTCTTTTTGGATCACATAAAAGGACCACGTAAACGTAGTCTGGCATTTTCTAATTATAAATTGTAAGTATTTTAGTAATCGTAGTACATCAAAAATAGTAGAGAGCATTGTTTGTTGTGCCAAATTTTGTGTTACAGATTTTTCTTGAAAGTAAAAGGACTGCGATAGCGTTTAAAAATCATGCCATTTTGTCGAACATTAAATGCCGAGGAACTAAAAGAGCTAGATGATTGGATGATCCATAAACAGATCAAGCTTGACAATCGCACACGTCGCGATCTATCCGATGTTGTGACCGTCGCCCGACTCTTTAAGAAATTTAATGCAAGGCTGGTTGGCATGTACAATTATAGCTCGCACAGTAGCTTTGCCTTAAAGTTGGAAAACTGGGAGATCTTTAATTTGAAAGTGCTACGAAAATTGGGTTTTAAATTGTCCCGCGACGATCTAGAGCAGCTTGCCTCGGCCAGTCTAACCGCCTCACAATCGCTGCTCTATCATTTGATGTGCACCGAACGAGATGGACTTAAACTACAATTCCAACCACAAATAAATCCCCTGATGGGATCTCAGGAAGCATCCCAGGAAGACATGCAGACGGTTAGTTTGGGAGATAGTTTGGCAGCTAACACCTTGGCAGTGAAAACCAAGAATGTGCCATATACAATGTATAAGCAATTGATTCAGGAGAAACATAAGAAGGACAAATATATCATCTCTGTGCGCCATAAAGTTCGGTTACTTCAAAGCCTCATCTTAGTAAAAGAAGAGCGGATCAACAAGCTAATGGAACGCCTGGCCGCACTTTCCGAACGCACTCCACTTTAAAACTACCACACTACCTTTGACCAATGGCTCTAATAATATTCGTTCTATTCGTTATAATAATTTTGCTATCCTTTGGAAAGTAATAAAACAATTTAAATTGTAGAAGTAAGCTCGAAATATCTTGTCTTAGTTTTGTATCGTTCAAAAAGATGAAAAGTTTAACCATACTCGTATTTTTTTCCTGTTGGTTTGAAAACGGTATTAATTAGTATTTTTTTTTGTATTTTCCAACCTTAAACCTGCGGTCACATTGAATTAGATGTTTGCACAACAAAGAAAAGTAAAGAAATGCCTGGAGGAAGAGTAGTTTCTTCACCTGTTGATACAGTTTCCTATTCAAATCTGGTAACTGTGCAATTATATATGAATAATACATTTTTTTGAGTTCTTATAACAAACGTAGTTCGTATATAGGAACATATGCATGTTATAAAGATACACACCCACAAGTACGCACAAACATTTGTATACATTTTTAATTGGGGTTGCTTTATTTTGACATTTATTGCAGGTTGGCTTCATTTTCATATTTAATCTTATTGTCGGAACTGGAGCGCTAACTCTACCAGGAGTATTTTCCAAAGCAGGATGGTGCCTAAGCCTTGTTGTTATAATAATGCTAGCTATTATAAGCTATATCACAGTAACCTTTGTTATCGAATCCATGGCTGGCGCTAATGCGATAAAAAACTGGCAAAGCCTTCAAGTTCTGCGGCATCGTCGGAGGAGCTCAAATGAAGATGAAGATCATGAAAGACATTTCAATGCAGCCAGCGAAACGACTCCTTTGACTATTCAAAATGTTGAATTTCATTATTACCAACTGACGCACAAATTTGAGTTGGGTGAAATGGCGACAATATTTTTTAATGATTTTGGACGCATCTTGTTTTACCTGTGCTTCATAATTTACCTGTATGGAGACTTAAGCATATACTCTGCCGTCGTGGCCAAAAGTTTGCGCGACGTCATATGGTAAGAATGAAAATTCATGTTGTATATATACGCAATAACCATTATAAATTCAGGCAAAAGGGAGTCGTCTCCATACATTATATATTCGGCTAATTGCATTTGTGTTTGGGCTGATTGCAATTTAAATCATTTTTCCTGTTCGACAAGGCACGAGTCGTTGACAATATGACATCCTTAAGATATTATTAATATAATGTTGTATCACAATCGTTTTCGTTAGCCGATCCAGTTGCCAGCTCTTATTGCATTTCATTCATCATTTGTTGTCATGTAAATTATACAAAATTAATCACAAATTTATATATGTTTATACTCATTTAATGAATTTTCTTTGCAGTGAACATGATCATTCAAACACATCGGATATCTCGACATTTGAATCGAATTCGGTTCAATTTCTTGGTAATTTTGAAAGTAATGAAACGAATAAACGAGCGTGCTGGAAAGATCATACGATATCGCGGCTAATTATGTACAGGATCATTTTAATTGGGTTTACACTCATTTTTGGGCCACTCGCAGTGCTCAGTATTCAGAAAACAAAGTATTTACAAATACTTACTGCTGTCTTTCGTTGCATGGGTAAGATTCATCCGGATTGGTTAACTATATATTTATTTGATTTTCACTTGTGTTTTTTTTTCAGCGTTTACCTTGATGATATCCATTGCCCTGAAGATGCTCGCTACGGATGGAGCAAGAGGACAGCCTGTTGCCATTAACTTTTACGGTATTCCATCGTTATTTGGCGCCTGTGTCTACTCGTTCATGTGCCACCATTCACTTCCTAGCTTATTGGAGCCCCTCAGAAGCAAGTCAATGGTGGCTAAAATTCTTTCATACGATTATATTGTAATTTGTACATTTTACATAGTACTGGCAATGACTGGCATTTTTGCATTTGAGCACGTCGAAGATCTTTACACTCTGAATTTTCTACCAAATCGGGTTGGTCATAATAGTTTTTCATCAACTTTGTTTGTTGTCATTGATTATTTCCTGTCGCTGTTTCCAGTCTTTACATTATCCACGAGTTTTCCACTTATCGCTATTACACTTAAAAATAATCTTCAAACCTTGTTTTTGGACATGTCCCGATATGATTCATATAGTTTATTTATACGTTTACTTTTTCCACTACTCGCGATTGTTCCACCATTTTGTGTGACATATTTTACCGAAAATCTTTCTACCCTGGTGGCATTTACTGGCAGCTATGCTGGCGTCGGCATACAGTATGTCATACCCGTTTTCTTGGTTTATTTCTCTCGAAAAACGTGCTCTGAACTTCTGGGCAGTGGGATTATCAATCATTACCAAAGCCCATTTCAATCAAATGCTTGGCTAGCACTGGTTTCATCTTGGTCAGTTGTATCCGTATTTTTAGTAACTATCAATTTATTCGCTTAATAATAACCTAAATCATCAACAATTTACGTATATCGGCTGTGAAATTTCCTTTAAATTATAATAGACATATTCTCCAACTGAGTAATTGGTTGATCTGTAATTTGATCTCGCCAGTTTATTGAAATGATTATTTTCAATTTAAATCGACTAATATTTACTAATGTTTTGCAAATGAAACCTATAATTGGGTAAAATACATTTCACGGCCCTACAAATTATTATAAACCGAAAAATTGTTACATCATTTTTACTTTAGTATGTATATTGGGACACAAACAGGAACAATTTGGCAACACTTTTGCCGCGGGGCATTCCATTAGTAAAGACCGTCATACTCAGATCTAGTTCAACATCTTGGGGTCCCTCCAGTGCCTTTTTTAATATAAGATTGACCTGGTTGTTGCTCTTCAATGTGCTGTTAAATAAGATCGATAATATGTCACATTACAATATTCATATTTATATTATTTGTAGAAGTCAAATGTCATCTAAAAGAAGTTTAAAAAAAAACTGTATCATATAGTAGGATGCGGTTTCCAGTAAGACTATTCTATTTTCTTTATACTTTCTGTTGCACAAGTCTACTAAAATACCCTATAATATATAGATACTAGCGGGTATAACCCGGCCTTGCCCGTGGCACGTATGTTATAAAATCAAAAAAGCTTTGAAAATGATTTTAAAACTGATCGGACGGGAATCAAACAACTTTTATGCAAATCTGAAAACTCTTAAAATTCACCAAAAAAATCTTAAAAATGCATTTTCCACCGAAAATGCGAGAAATGTGAAACACGTCTCTAATGATTTTTCTTATAAATCTTTGGAAATAAATTTAAACACAAAACGTCATCCACCAAATCTTTGACCTCCATTTCCACCAAGGAGGAATAGACTTTTCAAAAAGTGTGAAACACCCCTTAAATGAATTTAAACATAGATCTTTAAATATGAATTTGGGGCCGATCGGATGATAAACAAAAAACTTTCATACAACCGTTTTCCGCCAATTTACCACTGTTGCGGGTGGAATTTTCCAAATCGCTGAAATACGTACTTATTAAGTTCTTATGAAGAGCTTTAAAAATAAGTTTGAAGCAAATCGGACACAACTTAAAACGCCGCCCAAAAAATCTTTAAATCGCATTCCCCCCGAAGAAGTTTGAATTCTGCGAGAAGTGAGAAACACGTCTCAAATGATTTTTCATATAGATCACTGGAAATGAATTTGAGCGCGAAACGTCACCCACCAAATCTTTGACCTCCATTTCCACCAAGGAGGAATGGGTTTTCCGAAAAGTGCGAAACACCCCTCAAATGAATTTGAACAAAGATCTTTGAAAATAATTTTGGGGCCGATCGGATGGTTAACAAAAAAGTTACATACAAACGTTTTTCGCGATTTTTCCACACTTGCGAGTGGAATTTCCCGAAACCCCGTCTTAACGTGCACCTACATCACATAAGGTATCTACAGTGAAAATTTCAGCTTCCTAGCTCTTACGGTTTGGGCTGTGCGTTGATCACCAATCAGTCAGTTAGTCAGTCAGTCAGTCAGTCAGTCAGTCAGTAAGTCAGTCAGTCAGTCAGTCAGGACAAACAGTTTTATATATAGAGATTACTTACTCAAAATTAATCTCAGATGCTCTTTCAACATTGGGGGCCGCTTGAACTCGAACAACGTTCAAATCGAAATCAATGTCGTCATACCATATCGGACCTCGTAGTGTAAAAATTGTTCGACCATCTGGTGGAATCATTAATTTCGACACAAATGTTATAAAATTATATGTGTATGCTGATGGTTTTGTATAACATTCATCTCCCTCGCAAAAGTTACTAGTTTGTCGGCATCGGCTGAAAGAAGCAGAAATTTATAGAATTACGCTGCGAATATAAAATTAGGCTAACTATGATATATGAGTTCTTGGATAACTACAATGTTTAAAGTACAAAATCGTGTAGTTATCCGTATAAATTGGGGCAATGGTATACGAAAAGTGACATATTCTTGTTCTGTGTATTCTGTACGATAATATATTAAGATATATATACGATATATAATTTGGTGAACTTCCCATATAGTCGTATAAACGGTTGGATAACAGATGTGTCTATAATCGACTTGGCTTTAAGTTGTGATCAAGAACACGTATGTTTATGAAATCGGGGGTCAGTTTTTTTGCAGCTTTATCTTACTTTTTTTGATCCTGATCGTTTATATAGCCATTGGGACAGTAAATGGTGGTGCATTTAAAGCTGCCTCGAATGTTGGTGCATATATCATTCTGTATAAAGATACGGATAAAGAATAATTATATAAATAATAGAGTAGGGTATTCATAAGCAACTCACCCGACCAGTGCACACATGATTCTCGCTTTTCGTTTCGCATTCGTCAATGTCCCGACAGGTGTTCTTGTCAGCAGCCAGCGTGTAGCCGCGGGGGCAGGAGCATTGGTATGACCCGGCCGTGTTAATGCAATAGCTAATCGGATAAAATATTATAAACAAGTCGAGGATAATGCCAGATTGTATTCACAGAGATAGAAGGTAATTTACCCCATGCACAGCTTATAATCCTTGTGTACTTCGCATTCATCAATATCGTTGCAGGTGCGATTATCCTGGCTGAGTTCATATCCCGAATTGCAGGTGCAGCGATAGCCGCCCCAAAAGTTAACACATTTTTGCTGGCAGAGCCCCGGTATGGACTGACACTCATCGACATCAAAGCACTGAGAATGAGCAGTTTGCCAATTGTCCGGATCGGGACCATTGTGAGGCTTCTTTTGGAATCCTGTTTTGCATTCGCAATAGTAAGAACCAATTGTATTAAAGCATTGCGCATTCGAGGAGCAAACGGGCTGATCCTGTGCACACTCGTCTATGTCCTCGCAACTATTGACACCATCCGGCAGACGTGTCACCTGATGGCCAGGGGGACAGGCGCATATATATCCACCATTACGATTGCGACATATTTGCTTTTCACCACAGTTGTGATCCCCTGTCTCGCACTCATTAATATCTGAGAGGGGGCGGGGGGGGGGGGGGGAATTTCTAAGTAAAGCATAATTACAAATTAGTTTTGCAGCACAAACCAACGCAAGATGTTCCATCCGGGGTCGACCTCAAACCGGCGGGGCATTGTATTAGGTTTTCGCAGCGGAACGAGCCATTTGTGTTAATGCAGCGCTCATGGCTCATACATGGCTTGTACTCGATGCACTCGTTTATGTCTGTTTAAAAAATTGATATTAATTTCTATTTCGATTTCGTACATTACTTTTTTCGACCAAACTGAGAGACCAGTTCGCTTAGAAACCGACAGACGGACTTATACTTTATGGGAAATTAATATGGGGAAATTAATTAAGCAGGGCTGTGTACACAATAGTCGAATTTCAATCAGATGGGAAATTTTAACAATTGTTTTTAATTCCCATTGAGATTTTAGGATGTGGTCCGCGGTTATTTGTATTTTTACACATTTGTATTTTGATTTTGATTTTTGAATTTACCGACACAGGCGCCCAAATTGTTTCTGTGAAATCCGGAGGTGCAGGGTCGCTGAGCTATCGATCCATAATTGGTCAAATAACTTGGGGCATAATCCAAACGATTGTAACCCTGTTGCGATACATAATGTGGATTAAAATCTCGCCCTGCTGCTGGCGTTGTTGATGTAACTGGCCACGGGGTCGTCGTCGTCGTCGTTGTCGTCGTAGTCGTAGTCGTTGTCTTCCTGTGGCACCGAAAGGATCCTTTGGTGTTGTAGCAATCATAGTTCAATGGACAGTTGTGTGTGTTGAGCGCACATTCATCGTCATCTTTGTTGAAGAAACAATTCAATGAAGTCTGATTAACCTTTTTCTGTATATCGTATTTGTTACAAGTAAGCGAATCTTACGATATTACGATATTCAGATTCAAATTATGCTTACCATCACAATTTCCAGTTCCAGCGTTCAATGTATATCCAGTGCCGCACGACGTCCAGCGCTATAAAAATATTTAATAAATATAATTAAATATATATATATATATAAATAATTTAAAATATTGATAAAAGCAATAATACCGTGCATATATATGAACCGATCGTGTTATCACATCTTTGAGTTGACAGGCAGTTGTGATTGTTAATGGAGCACTCATTAATATCTACAGGAAGTGTGCGGTAATTATATATGTACATACATACATTATACATAGATAATACATAGATAGATATAGCCATACTTACCCACGCATTCGTTTTGCGTCACATCCAGGCTGTAGCCGGGCAGGCAGTCACAGTGATAACTGCCTACGGTGTTTTTGCACTCCTGGTGCATTTCAGTCTTGCACGAGTTTGTCGCATTATAATCGCACTCATCAATATCCGCGCAGCTTCCATCCTTTAGGTAAAAGCCCGTCCCACAGGCCAAACTCTCAATCGGATTGCAGTCATATCCGCCGTGATAATTGCTGCATTTATATCCCTTTTCGCATGGCGACTGAATGCACTCATCTTCATCTATTCAAAAATGTATTGTTTATTTTGATCAAAAATTTATTATTTATTTTATATATATATATTTTTTTTTCCACCCAATTACCGCCCCTACAAAAATTGAAATCTGCGCGTAATATCTCAAACTCTACGTTTATTGTGTATGTATGTATATATGTGTGTGTGTGTCATATGTAAGAGTGTGTGTGGGCGTGCGTGGGCATGCATTTATATATATATATGTTTATGTATGCGTGCAGGCTTGTTTTCTAATACCTAACGCTGTCCAAACTGATTTGTCGCTGCGCTGCAAATTTAAATATAACTTATTTCTACCAAGCGCTCTCCTCCTCGATTCTCAAGAATTCAATTAGGCTCTGCTGAAATTTAACAAGGCAGGAAACAACGTTGGCTCCAGGCCTGTGGAGGAGCAACTGTGGAGGAGGCGGTGGAGCAGCAGGAGGTGAAGGGGGTAAGTAGATATGTATGTAGATGTATGTATGTTGATGTATGTAGATGTATGTATGTATGTGTATGTATGTATGTGTAGATGTATGTATGTAGATGTATGTGCATATGTATGTATGTATATATGTATGTATGCATGTACATATGTATGTATGTATGCATGTATGTATGTACATATGTAGGTATGTAAATGTGTATGTATGTACATATGTATGTATGTATGAACGTATGTATGTATGTAGATTATGTACATATGTAGGTGTGTAAATGTGTATGTATGTATGTATGATCGTACGTATGTATGAACGTATGGATGTATGTAGATGTATTATGTACATATGTAGATATGTACATATTGAGAGGCACATTTAATGTTGATTGAGTGGTAAAAATGATATTGCTAATGCAATTTAGACATCGAGATATTTACGTACCTTCACATTCCTCGGACTTGACATTGTACAGATAACCTGGGGGACAGTTCTTTGCCTTGACATTGAGGCAATGATATCCACCGATTGTATTGTGGCAATATTGTGTTGATTTGCACTCGTGCAGTTGTTCTTTGCATTCATCGATGTCCGCGCATTTGCCTTGTTTGGCATCCAAAATATATCCGCTGGGACATGGATGATGATCGTTGATTCTCTCGGAGCAAGTAACATTATTATCGTCCAAAGTGTAGCCGGGATTACAGCTGCATTTGTAGGCATCAAATGTATTCTCACAAATATGCGCGCAAAGATTTGGAATTTTTCCGCAAATATCATCTGTGAAAGGATGTTTTGATTTTATTTTGATTTAATTGAATTTTGATGCTTACCATCATCATCGGCGAGGACGATAGTGCCATCATGATCCTCGTCATCCGGCTTGGCCGGATCTTCTTCTTCTGGCTCAACCCGATGAGCAGCATCTGTATCAAGTGTATTTCCCTTTTCCTTTTCATCCGATTGATTGGCAAAATCATCCTCGGAGCAGCAAATCCGATATGAATCAATATTCGAAAGAAACGAAAACAAGGGATCCCGACACTTTTGCTGACTAGCCTTGACTGCCAAACCAACTAGAGAAGCAACCCCAATCGATTATTATTTATATTAATATACATATATATATATATGTACCTTGACAGGCGCGGCAGCAATTTTGATATGTGCTCGACGAGCCATTGTCACAGGAAGTGCCCTCTAAGGCGGCCAGGCGACCCAGGTCACAATGTTGACGCTCCAGTTCTCGGGAACAGCAGACGGCAAATGTTGAGGAGCACAATCCGATCCAAAGTCGGGATATGTTCGATACAGACGATTCCATTTTATCGCATTCATTTGTGGTGCGCGCATTTCTCAGTCCAATTATGCAACATTTTCGTATATAATCGGCAATTTGTTCTTTATTCAAACAAAACAAACATCGATACACAATTATATAATTATAATACTAGCTAAAATTGAGTGAAGATTTATTCTCTTATCTAGCACAAACAAAGCCTCGCGCGAGATAACAAGATGAATTTCTTTACTTTACTTTTTGTACGTAAAACTTATTTAAAGATTTTTTTAGTTTTTATTTTGTTTTGTTTTGTAGAAAATTGAATAAGTTCTTTGTCTTTAATTTTTAATATCTTTTTGGGCAAGAATTCATTTTCTTTCTGTAAAATAAACTCACCTTCTGCGAATACTCTTTCCACGGCGGAAGTCAGGCAAAAAAAAAGAATGCCGACTATATTTATGAGATGAGATGAGCGCATATCGAATAGTTGAAACTTGACATCAATTAAAATGAATTGTTCTTTGTGGCCTCGGTTTCCGCCTTCGGTTAATGTGTGTAATGTGCGTTATAAGACTGCGTTCTCAACTGAGAATCGAGTAACTGGTGGAATATACATATGTACATATAAATGCTTGTGTATGACAAATACAGAGAGATAAAGATACAGAGAGATATAAATACAGTATCTCGTATCTTACAAGGCGACGACAACTTTTGAATTAACGTTGATAAAATTCTAAAACAAAGAATCATTCGACGGTTCGGCCTTAACAACAATCGACTACCCTACCCATATATATGTATATCAATTATATTATCATTTTTACATATATAATTATATTTATTTTCTTGAGATTTTTGCGAAATATTTCGGTTGCTCCATTCTAAGCCCGCATCTGAGATATCGCCAGCTAGTTTCATATCAATTCCAAAATATCGATCAAAATCAATTTTTGGACTCGTAGAGATCGTATACAGATTGAAAATGTTCAACTTGGATTACCTCATGTGAGGTAATCTTCTTTATATTGTTTATATAGGACTTAGGTTCCTTGGGGTACTCTAGCTTCTACAGGACTTTAGGGTGAAAAAAAAGTGGAAAACTGGCCGAAGTTCAATTTTAAATAACTTCATTTGATACAGACTTTCACTTTATTTACACAATCATAAACATATGTTTATTAGTTTACTTAGCAATAAATACTTGTACAATTTACCAGATAATAATATTTAATAAACAATCTAGATTAATCTAGTCGGCAGTGAACAATTAGGAGAGATACTTAGGCCCAAGGTACAGTCTACACTCAGTTTAATAGACACATAAAACAACCTTGTGAGATGAGGAATGCATGTTTGTTTTCTAATTTGATTTATCGCTGTGCTGCAAATTTAGATATAACGAATTTATACCAAGTGCTGTTCTCCTCGATTCTCAAGAATTCAAGTAGGCTCTGCAGGTGTTACCAATTTATCGTCTAATAACATTGGCCCTCTTCTATTGACACAATAGCTAATTTTTCCTTACTGGCCGATTCGTACAATGGATTACATATCGTGTCGGCGATAATGTTATCGACATCGGCTCTTAAAATCCGAAAATTGATATCCCCATAATCTAGCTGACTATATAAATAGGTTGGCAACCGATTGCTCATCACCCAAACGCCTTGGCTCTGTTCGTGGTCGACTTTTAAATCGTTGGGAAATTGAATCAAGTTCGAAGATTTGTTAGCATCGAGAAGCGTGCCCAAATTGGATCGAGCGTATGGCTTAGCTGTATCCCAGCATCCAATGTTATCCCGATGTACTTGGGTAAAGAACATGACGCCATTTCTGGCAATTCCCGATGTCGAAGATTGACCGTTGAATCCGCGATCGCCGATCGCAATAAAAAGCTTGGACGTGTCTATTGTGCTATCGGTCCAAAGGGATTCATTCAACAGGATGTCTATCGGAACCATAAATTCCTACAAAAGTAAGTGTCACAAATTAACCAATAAATATATAAATAGTAATGATAAAAATTCTACGCACCTTAAAGCTGGCCATTGGGTGAAAGTATAGCAGACGATCATTTCGCTTGGGTCCCCGGGACAGGCTCATGCCGAAAACACCGTCCAACCACTGAAAGTTCAGGCCATGGATATTGAAGTCTGCTGCCGTTGGATTTGGTGAGAAATTGTAGTTGGTCACGCGCCAGCTCGTGTGCCTCGCCAGGCTGTAGACAACTAGGCCAAATCGCCAGACATCTGTGACAAAAGCGTGCGCGTCCAGGCAATCGTTATTTCTAACATCCACAACAATGTTCGAGTGTAAGGAGTCCTGTTTGATCTGCGCGGCGGGCAGCTCATAGCGGACAACCATCTCGTCTGTGTCCAGATCGAAGGCGACTATTTTCGGTGGACATATCTGGTTTAAACTTATTGTGGCATTCACAATGCCGGAATCGATGAGCCACAGCCGGTTGCATTGGGCATCGATTGAGGTCCGGTAAACGGATATCAGCTTGGAACAGTCGGCATTGTTGGGGCTGCTGTGCGCCTGCCATGACGGATACGGCCTCAGTGCGGGACTAATCTCTTTTGTCGGGTACGGCACGGTGACCAAACTCGCTGGGACGCCATCTTTCCAACGCGGTGTTGTTATAAACAGTCGTCCTCCATACATATCGATGCCCAAAGGTAAATTGTTTTTCGGCACAAACTCTCTGAAAGAAAAAATACATAAATAAATAACAGAAACAAGGATATAGTAGGGCTATCTTCGGCACGCCAAAGACTTAATAGCCTTCCTTCTAATGCCGAATATGGTTAAGATATCTTGGAAAACAAAAAAGTTTTCCATACAAATACCTACTTTTCGACCGATCGTTCCTATGGCAGCTATATGATATAGTGGTCTGATGAAAATAAGATTTTGATGAAATGTATGAAACATAGTGAAACTTATGATTGGCGAGTTTGGTCAAGATATCTTGGAAAACAAAAAAGTTTTTCATACAAGAACCCAATTTTCGACCGATCGTTCCTATGGCAGCTATATGATATAGTGGTCCGATATTGATAGGATTTTGCATATATATGAGGAGCATAGTAAAACTAATAAATGCCGCGTTTGCTCAAGATATCTTGATAAGCAAAAAAGTTTTTCATACAAGAACCCAATTTTCGACCGATCGTTCCTATGGCAGCTATATGATATAGTGGTCCGATATTGATAGGATTTTGCATATATATGACGAGCATAGTAAAACTAATAATTGCCGCGTTTGCACAAGATATCTTGATAAACAAAAAAGTTTTTCATACAAGAACCTACTTTTCGACCGATCGTTCCTATGGCAGCTATATGATATAGTGGTCCGATCCAACTGGTTCCGACATATGTACTGCGTGCAACAGAAAGAGGGACTTCTGCAAAGTTTCATAAAGATAGCTTTAAAACTGAGAGACTAGTTCGCATAGAAACAGACAGACGGACAGACGGACTCGACTCGACTCGGCTGTTGATGCTGATAAAGAATATATATACTTTATGGGGTCGGAGATGCTTCCTTCTGCCTTTTACATACATTTGCACAAATACATTATACCCTTTTTACCCATTTTCAATGGGTTCAGTTCCTTAGTTAGAATTAACCATATGCCTCATATACTCATTCTCCCTCTTAAGTAATTTGTTATAACATAATTATACCTTTCACTTTTTTACCATTTTTTACCATATTATTTAATGGGTGCTCTAACCTTAAATCTGTGCTAAATATCCTATAATAGTCTTCTACATAAAAAGCCATCATCAATTATTAAATGTAATGTTCTTATATGTTCCCAAATCCTTGATTCGATTGCTTTAAGAGAATTACTTAAAGCTTTTTTTTCACGTATTTATTACCCATTTTTGATCGCCAGCTGCCTCTCGACAAACGTGGGATATTCAAAATCCAAATACTTCCACTCATTGACAATCTGAAACGAGGGACTAATCCTTTTAAATGTGGATTGATCCAACTGAGCAGATACTTGGGCACGAATTGAAATGTATTGAAGGCCAACGATCGAAAGAAAACTAGCAAATGCATAAAAAAACGACTTCATGGCTTATGGTGTACAAAACTGGTTAACTGGTTAGATATGTAGGTACATAGATATATATCTGTTTGTATTTGTGATCAAATTTCGAACGGCAACCAAACTGTCTCACGCACGAAAAACAACTGAATTCAGGTGAATGCCTTGCCGTTGTTAAGTACTGTAATTATCATGCATCATAAATTTCAATTCTCTTTTCAAATTGACTCTTGACTTCGAATTCGATTTACCAGGGCTGCAACATGAATCTTTATACAGAAAACTGTTTGATCCTCTTGTGGACTTGTGATCAACTAGGGCTACCCTATGTGATGAAGGTACATATGTCTGGGAAATTTGTTCAGGGTGCTTGCTCATTTGGTAGGTGCCGTTTTAGGCACAAAAATCAATTTCAAGGATCCTTATTAAAGTTAATTCATCCAGTGTTTCACACTTTTCGAAAATCGAATCTTGGATGGGATAATTAGGGTCATAGATTTTTCGGCCGCAGTTTAAAGTTTCGATTAGCTTCAAATTCATTAGCAAAGATCTTTGTGAAAATTAATTTAAGATGTGTTTCAGCTTACCACCCCTCTTGCAGGTCAAGGGTTATAAGAACTTAACTTTATTTTTCGGAGTGTTTATTCCAAGGGGGTTTATTCCAAGGTTTGGTTCTTAATTTGATGGGCTTCAAACTTATTTTTAAATCAAACATATGTATATGTTAAACTCCGCATGGGAAAGTACTCATTTTTCCTCGAGCGAAAATATAGAAAATCGTTTTTATACCATTCAAAATCTAACAGATGCCTTCTTTGAAATCAGCTGTTTCCCTTTTTGGGCTATTGGTGTTTAATGCTGCCATATTGGTTGTGAAAGGAATGCTGAAGCTTCGAAGGCAATTCGAATTCGATTGCTGTAGCTTCGATTGCAATTCGAATTCGATTGCTGTAGCTTCGATTGCAATTCGAAATCGAATGTTGGAGCTTCGAATGCAACTCGTGACGTCACAAATGTGAGCATGAGCAGCGCTGCTTCGCCAAGTGAATGGCAATATGAAATGAAGCAAGTGAATGGCAGATATATATGTAAGTGCATGTGTATGTGTGTCTGTATGCATTTACATTTGAATGATTTTGCTCGCTATATGGTGGAAAACATTTGCAACGAACAAAAATAAAAAGTAAATGAAAAAAAATCGAAATTTGCTAATTGTGCGAACTGGAATAAACATGGCGTTAATAATACGAGGAGCACAAATATCAATGTGAATACCATAATTGTAAGTTGCGCCAAAAAGTATGCTTGTGTTCGCTTGCGGAAAATCGATAAAATTAAATTCCTCTACATCCGTGTGTGTGTGTGTGTGTTGTGAATAAATTTGTCAAATAGATATTCAAAGTTTAACAACTGCAAGTCGACATGGCTACGTAATAAAACTGTTAACTAATAATCAGGTGGAAAGAAAACTCATTAGTTAGTCGAACAATTGTACATACAAACACATGCATATGTATTTATATATGTAAGTACATACAAAAGTGCCTGGTAGAAGTCTTATACTTTTCTTTCTTTACAAAACAAATATTATGAATATGTATTTGTGTTTCTGCGAACATAAGATTTTGGATACCTTTCTGTAACAAACCATTCCAAACACTTTTGTTTTATTTTTTTTGTGTTTTTGTATCAGTTTGACTAGCCCAACTTTGACACAGTTCTGTGCCAGAAAGTGGACTTTGGCTTTGCTCGTTTTGCTGTTAAAATTCGCAACAAGTTTAAGCTTCCAAAGAGTGTCAAGCTGTTGGCTTGAATTGAGTTGGAATCGAGAACTTCTCAAAATAAATGCTCACTTTTTGGATGTTTTTCGTAATTTAAAAAAAAAACAGTCAACGTTCAGTTTAATATTTGTGTTACACTTAAACCACTTGTCATATTTGGTATAGTTATAACCTAACCATTTTCATAGTTTTGTTATGCTTTAATATTTTTAAAAATACAGGCAGTAATAATAATATGCAAATGGCGGATAGAGTCATCTATCGAGTACACGAAGTATTCAAAAGATGCTAAGATGGCGGATAGGATATCCCTATCGAGTATACGGAGTATTCAATAGATGCAAAGTTTTGAATCTAAAATATATACAGAATATAGAGGCCAAGTTGTGCTCTAACAATGAATAAATACCTCCTCGATACACAATCGTTTTTCAGATAAAGCAGTTAGGAATACTACGTTACAACCAAGTCATTTGAGATGCATCCCAATCGTGTTGATCTTCCGAGTGGCAACGGCAACCAGCGCCGAAATACAAATGGCAATGATTGCAATGCTACAGTTGCAGGAAATGCATGTGCCGGACGTAGAAAATCGGTTAACTATCAGCCACAGCTGTCGCTGAAGACGAACGGAGATGAGCCAATAATTGGGTCGCCAGCTGGTCGCTTTAGTCCGCATCCGAATGAGATATTCCTGGCGCAGTCGGGCAAATTAACCATACCGTTAACCAAATTTGATGATTCGCTAATGAACGGCGGCTGCTTGCCACCGCCGTCGCCTGCTCCAAATAGTGATTGTTTGCCCTCTGGTATTGGTCAGGCGCACGCCCACGCTCACGGCCACGGTCATGGCCACGCCCACGCTCAAACCCAATCGAATTTTCAAACCAAAATCGGCCTTAACAACCTGAACAGCAGCAATCAGATGCAGCAGCTGAATCTGAACCACTTCCAACAGCAACAGGCCCACGCCCACGCTCAAGGCTACCCGTTGTCATCCTCCAATTCGACGTCGTCGCTGTGCACCAACAATTCGGGCAGCACGCAATCGCAGCCGGCGGAGAGCTCCACCGGCGGCATCCATAAGCATGGCAAATATAGCCTGCATCCACTGCATCCACGTGCAATGTCACCCAACTCAAAATACCGCTTGGAGCGCTACAGAGATCCGGCTCAAAAGGTGAAACTAATCGAAACAATGAATCTATTATCGCCGGGACTTGGGCCCGCAACGGCGACGGCACCGCAAAGTGCGGCGGCGGCGACCTCGACACGTTATTTTATGCCAACCAATCGGAACGTGGAATGTGATGCCTATAACGGCTATTTGGGTTCCACGGTGCACACACCGGTCAAACGGTATGTCCCAACGCCGCCTCCAGCGGGTGATATATACACGGATTCAACCGGAACAACCGGAGCAACGACATGTGCTGCCACGCCTCCGGTGTCATCGCAGTACGTGAATATTCCGTACAATTATCGTGCCAAGTGCTGTCACAACAGTGAACACATTGAATCTGGGCCGGCTCAGGGTAGTTATTCGAAGAGCGCACAAACCTATAATGTGCACAATGTGCCATCATCATCATCATCAGCCACATCCACGTCCAACTCGAACCAACCATGCCCATGCCCGTCGCCTTCTCCTGCATCATCGGGCTCAACAATATCCGTATCGTTTCCGGCACCAGCCGCTAGCATCTGCCCGCCCATTGTGAGCACAGGAAAGAACATTGCAGCTTGCAACAAATTGCGATCGAATGTCGAAAGTGCACGCAGCAGCAACCAATCGGATGAGGCCGAGTCCATTATAGTAATACAGTCGGCGTTGGGTCAAAGTGAGGGCCAGCGGGGCCAGGGTGCAGCTCAGGTGCAGCTGCAGGGTCAGGACATTGCCGGCACCTGCTTGCATTGCAATACCGTGCGCCGAACGACCGGTGTGCATCAGACAACACAAACAACTGGCCCAATCAGTCCCGTGCCGCTGGCAATGCCAATGGCAATGCCCGTAACATCAACGGATCTGGCCAAGCTGAAGCAACAGCAGCATGATCAGGAAATGATGACACACGAAATGAATGCCAGCAACACAATCGAGGCCTCCGATCTGGCCAGCAGCACAATGGCACAATTCCAACGTCAGCAGCAGCAGCTATATCAGGTTGCCCATCTGGCCAACTCGCCGCGCCTGCAGCAGCAGCAGCAGCAACATCTCGTGCCGCAGCAACAACATCAACATCAACAACAACAACAACAACAACAACAACAGCAGCAGCAGCAGCAACAACAACAACAACAACAGCAGGCCCTTCGGTATTCGTGCAAGAAACGCATCATAATTTATATGCGACGCGAGGTGTCGCGTTTCTTTGGCGTAGAGTCCAGCACGGAGGCTGCAGACTATGCCCTCTGGTATGGACGCCACCGACGCCTGGCGATTCGACGTTTTGGGCCATTGAACGCCAGCTCGGAATTGGACTATAATGTGCCCATGGCAATGGACAACAATCGTGATAATGGCAACAACAATGTGGAGGCAACTGGCAGCGGCTATTATGCGACAGATCGGCCCGATATACTGCCTGCTCAGGATGCCCAAAATGTGGATATGGCACTGCATGCCACCGGCAACTGCAGATGGCGCAAATGCTATGCCGGCAACGACTTCGGTGCGGGCGAATTTGTGGAGCGTAAGGCATCGGTGGCTCACATGCTGATGACAGGTGTTAGCTACTTGATAAGCATGTTTAACGTGCGGCCGACAAATCAAGGACGTGGCCAGCTTAGCAAGCGATGCCATCGGCAATGGTCGCGCAGCTTTGCACCGGTCCATGTGCACGGCAGGGGCGCCGAGTCCATAGATCATGGGCAGGACATGGACATGGACGCTGAGTGCAGCATGGGCATTGCCAATAGTCTGGCTGCACTGATCGAAGACGAGGTCTTCTTCGATAATCCATGCGATGCCTCCTCAGGCTCGTCAGCAAATGACGATGGCGAAACAAACAAACAGCCGCACACAGATACTGTGGGCTTGGCACTGGGCGGAGTCGGAGTCGAGGGTAGCGTTGGCGTCTATATGGCCGAGAGGCACCACAATGGCTGGCGCACATCGGCTCTCAATAGCAACGGCAACGGTGGGGACATGCATTTGATTGCCGATTCACATCAAGTACATCAGGTGAACCATATACATCATATGAGCGGCAACTCGGGGGGACAAAGTCAATCCGTGCTGCGCACATCCAATTCGACAAACAATTCGGCCAGCAGCAATCGTGGCAACCGTATAGCTGCCCAGTTGCTGGATGGTGTTCTGGAGAACTCTAGACGCCCGCAGACGCGACACATCAAATACTTTTCGGTCAATGATCTGGACGATCGTACGGACCATCGACCATTTTTCACATACTGGATAAATACGGTGCAAATTGTTGTCCTGTTTCTATCGATCATTTGCTACGGCATCGCACCAATTGGTTTCGGTACCGAACAGAAGACCGGACAGGTGCTGGTGACCAGCCTGAGTCTACAGACGGTACAGCACATCGAGCAGCGCAATCTTTGGATTGGTCCACGCAACAATGACCTGGTCCATATGGGCGCAAAATTCGCCGCGTGCATGCGGCGAGACATTAAGATCATGGAGGTGGTTGCCAAAACCAGAAGGCAGGAACGTGAGACGGCTTGCTGCATACGCAATGATGACTCCGGTTGCGTTCAGAGCTCCCAGGCGGATTGTTCCATACGGGGTCTTTATCCTACGGTAAGTGTTAATATAATATAATATTAGTATTTATATATAGTATATATATTTATAATTTCACAAGAAATCAATATCTACTTGGAAAAAATGGTCTCCCGGTGAGTCGGGACCTGGTGGACGGATTTCAGGATCTGTGTGCGGCTTGGATCCAAAATTTTGCGATGCACCCGCATCCATAGCGCCATACGAGTGGCCCGATGACATCACAAAGTGGCCCATTTGCCGGAAAACAAACTCATTCTCCCAGCGCTACCGCTACAAAGATCATACGGCCGAGCATATGGTCTGCGAAGTAATTGGCCATCCCTGCTGTACGGGACTCTATGGCGAATGCCGAATAACGACCCGCGAATATTGTGATTTCGTTAATGGATATTTTCATGAAGAAGCTTCACTCTGTTCACAGGTAAATATTAACCAGACAAATAACATAGACTTTTTGGAGTACCGAATAGTAAATAGCCTTGCAGACATTCTCTACTTAGCCACAATTTTTGTCCGATTGCTCCAATTACTATAAGGTAGGCCGATGTAACAAATTGATGTTTTAAGAAACAAAAGTTGGAATCTGTTAAGTATGAATTTCGATTTCACAATCTTTTAAAAATGCGATCGCTTGCTTATTGCAAATATCGATACATTCCTTCCGTTTGTATCGATATTACATTGAACAAAGTTACAAACCATAGGAATGTATCGATATTACATTTAATAGTTTGTCAGTGCATTTGTTCAAATTTAAATTTAAATTATTCAACGTTCAACAAATCATTGTTTTCCGAGATGCTTGAGACCGAAAAATAAACATTGATACATACAACTGATAGACTAGTGTTTACATAGCCAGGCACTGACCGACCTTCAGCAAGGGTATAAAAACAAAATATTTTATAGATAATTACGATTCCCTAATGATTCTTTGTTATTTCAGATATCCTGTCTTAATAACGTTTGTGGCATGTTCCCATTTATCTCAGTGGAAATTCCAGATCAGATTTATAGACTTTTGACATCGCTGTGCATGCATGCTGGAATTTTGCATTTGGCAATTACGCTTATATTTCAGTATTTATTTCTTGCTGACTTGGAGAGATTAATTGGAACCTTGCGAACTGCCGTAGTATATATTATGTCGGGCTTGGCTGGAAATCTTACCAGCGCAGTGCTAGTACCCCATCGACCTGAGGTAGGTACATAACATATGTAAATATATATGAATATATATAAAGCCAGAGGATCAGTTATCTTCTACTAATTTACTCGTTGTAAAGTATGAATTTCGGGTTTTCATTCTTTTACACAACCGCACGGTTTCACAATCTTTCAAAAAGTGATCGCTTGCTTCTTAAGAACATTCCTTCGGATTGTATCGATATTACATTTAACAGCGTTACAAACCAAACGAATGTATCGATATTACATTTAACAGAGTTACATATGCATACTCATCGATAACTCAGTTTGATTGATTTGTTCAAATTTAAATTCAAATTTATTCAAAGTCTTACATCGTTAATTCAATTTACCAACAGGTGGGACCCTCAGCCTCCCTCTGTGGGGTGGTATCCTCGCTGGCTGCATTGCTTATATGGATGCATTGGAAAAATGTACATAAGCCATATGTGGCATTGTTCAAGCTATTGCTTTTGTCCACAGTTCTATTCGGGATTGGCACATTACCATACCAGCTGAACTTCGCTGGCCTGCTGGCTGGGGTTGCTTGTGGCACGTTTTTAACAATATCGTTGGTACCGTTTGCCACATTCACGAAATACGGACGCAGAAAAAAGGCACATATACATGCTTAGCTAATTTAAAGAGGGTCCAGTGAATTGAATTTGTTTGTTTTCTATTCACAGATAAATCTTATTTGGACATGCATACTGTTTCATCTGTTTGTATACGCAACTTTAATAACAACGTTTTACATCTATCCCAGCGAATTTAGTACATTTAGTTTTGTGGATGATATATTCGGTAGTAATGGAAACAACGGCTACATTAGTGCCACAAATAGCAATATTGGCCACCACAATGGCGAGGTAAGCAGCACTCCCCGCAGATATTCCCAGACACAAAAGCCTCAATATTATTATCACCATCACTCGGAAGACATAATCAGGAATGCGTTCCCCGAAGGCAACAGCATCTCGGTAAAATATTCTTCAAATATCTCAATATCCATCTATCGAATATCTATATTTATCGTTTTCTTGCAGCACATATATCCGGAGACGCAACGGCAAAAAAATATCCAACTCTGGCAAGAAGGTCTTTACACCCGCTCATTTCGCTACAATTCAAACTATACCGATCGCATTTATAACAATATCGAAAATGCAATCGCTGACACAAATGTTTTAAGCAACAAAGATACTCCTCTGGACTCTTACGGGACTGGCCGAATATTGAACAAGAAAAACAACTCTCGGATAAGTGAGAAAGCCGTCAATGCGATGCAACTTAATCACAAAAATATCGAAAATATGAATGATACAAATTTTAAGGGCCTATGAATCTTCCATACTTAATTATTAACATCATTTAAAGCAACAATAGCACAATAAATAAGTGCACAAAACTATACAAATGTACATAAATATACATATATATATACCCGTAAAATATTGCATGTATCGTGGTCAGTATTTTCAAATAAATATTAAACCAATTTACGATTTATCAAACAACTAATTTATTTTTATATGTTTACTTTTCATGTATTTTATTCACACAATCTGGTTAGTTTCACATCTCATTTTGAATTACCAACGGCCGCGCCCTCCTCCTCCTCCTCCGCCACCACGTCCTCTATTAAATCCACCGCCGCCGCCGCCGCCGCCGCCTCCTCTACCAAATCCACGGCCGCCACCTCCGCCTCCTCGGCTTGAGCCTCCCCTAAAGCCACCGCCGCCGCGTCCACCACGGTTTCCTTAATGGTAATAATTGTAAAGTATTGTTACTGTAGAGCATAGTTCCTAAACATAATACAATTTATTTCAACTTACCCATTCCACCTCCACGCCCCCTTACTCCTCCTCCACTAGGGCCGCCCTTCTTTCTAGCACCTTTTGGTTGTGGTGGCTTTGGTAGAAATCTTGAAATTGGCAGCAACTTTCCAGGGTCAATAAACAACTGTTGGTTTGGCTTAAAACTATTTGCGAATATATTATCAGAAAGTTTAATAGAGACCGAGTAGTCTCGAACTGTGCCAAAAATTTCATCAATTTTTCCGATCTGCTCCTTATTTTCGAGGAATATTGGGGCATTGAAATATGGTACATCATCTATATCTACTTTACAAACTAGATCATTCTGGCATGAATAGCTAAAGTTGCCTAATGCAATCACACGCTCGGGCGGGCCCTGATCAAAGGTGCCCCGACCTCCGCCTTTATTAAATCCTCCTCCGCCGAACTTGTTGAATCCACCACCGCCGCGGCCACCTCCACCACCACCTCGAGAACCTATTTACAAAGATTAAAAATAAATAAATGTATGTAAGTTTAAGTTCGAAACCACTGGTGCATTTTCAAACCTCTTCCACCACCACCACGACCACGTCCAAAAGACATTTTTATGCGAATAGACACAACAAAGTCGGAAAAAAATATAAACACGTGCGACTACCAGTGCGCTGTTAGTGTTGTTTTAAATAGTTCAGAATAGGTTCAATTGAGCGGTTCATTAAGCTGAACGAATGAACTAACTCCCTTACTATCGTTCATTTAGTTCATTTGTCGGTTAACTTATCGGTTTCATTCAAGGTTATCGGTCCATTCTTAATTGTTCGTGCGTCAAGTTAGCGCCGGTGACTTAGAATCAATATTTGGAACTTTGTTCCGGAGATGCAGCCACTCACTTTTAAATGTATTTATTTATGTTTAATGTCCATTTTAGGCCGCTGGACCTCCTTTTCTGTTAAAAACGACTCGTACGCGTACTAAAATATATTTCGTAGTTTTGACCTATGCACATTTTGTATAGCGCAGCTGTGAACCGCTAATTGACGAAAGCTAAATCAAATCAAAATAATAATTTTTTTAATTTTTAAGTAAAATGTTATAATTGTTACGGTTACGCGGGCATTTTTTTAAATACGATAACAAATTTGATGAACTGCCGCTGGTCTTAAAACTTATACGATATCCAACTCGATATATCACCGCAAAAATTTAACACGATATGCTATTTAACTATTTGTGGAAAATATCGATATTCTGATATAATTTCGATAGGCCTAATTTCGTATTAGCATTGCAATTCATTCGCACAAAATTTAAGGTAGGTGAAGAAATGACGTCATACGTAATAAAATAATTAAATAAATTCGATGCTTGAACAAAATTGTAAACAAGTTATAGAAGTGCATAATGCAATACTTGTAAAAAGCTTGCAAGCAAATATATGTTTATACGACAGTGCATGTATATACATACATACGCTTGTATACATGTTGTATGTATGTATGTTTGATATGGTAAAAGTTTTATTTTCTATGGTCCGGATATCCATTTGTGGTCAACTAACTAATTAGTCAGTGCTTTATTTTCAGGAATTCATCCAAAAAAAATGACACTTGGCGAACCACTAAACGAGATACAAACGAAAAGCCAGGGTCACGAAACAGCAACAGCAATTAAACGAACGCAGATACAAATAAATCAGAACAGCGACACCATGGACAACGGGTACATTGATAAAGCTAATATTGTTGCGAAGCATCAAAAACAGGTAAACCTTAGTTAAAGAATGATTTACTATATGAGCATAAATGTTAGTCCTTTTATCTTATACCGTCAAACAACGGATTAAATTATCCATAGAATGTAGAGCTCAACCATCCGAATGATGAGATCACTTCACATAAACACACACACACACGCACACTCACGCACAACTATCTGGCGTACATTGCGGCATGACCCCACCCCCACCCCCGTCAGCACATACTTTTCAAGTGCTGATCACACTATTGTGCGATGGTCACCAATAATAACTGTAAATTCAAATACATGAGATGCATATGTTGTATCTGAATCTGTGTGTGTATGTGTGCAATCATTAAAAAAAAACTAAATTGTATTGTGCTCAGCTGGCGGAGTCGGTGCTATTCGGTTTGAAATTTACTTACTATTATGTGTATTTATGTGATTTATGCGTATATATATATATATGTATATATATAAATAGCAACCATGTTTAAATTTTTAAAACGTTTTTTTATTTTCTGTACCCATTGAAAATTCATGATCGGGTCAACAAACTAAATTATCTAGATATGTAGTTCTCCATATACCTATTTACTTTCGGATAAATTTCCAAAATAGCTGGAAAAGTATTCATTAAGTATTTATGCAGTGAACTTCACCCTCCTAACCTTTAACCGACATTTACCATCGATTTATGATTTTGATTTAAATTCAATATCTTAAAGATCTTTGCACCAGCTTACATCCGAAACTTTGCTCATTCAACCTTTGAATTTTTATAAAGATCTTTAGAGATGCATTTTTAAACCTGAAACTTCATTCACCAAATCGTTGACACCCCCATGAATTTAAACAAATATCTTTGAAAATGAGTTTAAGGTGGATCGTGTTTCACGCTTTTTCCATACCTGCAGGGTGAAATTACCCAAAAGCCCGTCTTAGCTCTTAATGGTTTGGGCTGTTTTTGTTGATCACCAATCAGTCGAGTTAGTCTCAGGTAAACACAATTTTATATATAGAGATTAAAGGTTTTTGTGTGTTTTTTATTCCTATCCATATCCAGAACGATGCAACAATATCATTTCTACGAGCTGCACGAAGCGGTGATCTAGGTAAGGTTCTGGAATTCATAGATGCTGGTCTAATCACGGACATTAACACTTGCAATGCGGTAAGACACATTCGCAGATGTATTTCATTTTAAAACTCTGGCAGAGAATAATATAACTAACGGTGTCGGTTCTAGATTACGATTCCAATCGAAATGGATCGGTGTTCCTTATATCGAATCCGATCAAGAGTTTTGCCTTTGAGTTATCGGAATGAAATAAATGGGCAAAATAAATAAAAAGTATAGGTCACTATATAGGTCGTCGTTTTGCCCGAGAATAATCAGAAATTATTGGCGCTATCATTTTAAACAATATATTCTGTGACATCAAACACAATTAACAGAAAACGGTTACGAATTCGCATGGATTAGGAATGATAACGTTTCAGGATCAAAAGCTTTAAAACGAATCCGATTTTAATTTTCAAATCGAATCGATCTTGATTTGTAAAATCAATTTGTGATGTATGTTCCAAAAAATATTAGAGAACATTAGTTTTAAATCGAAAGTCCTTCATGATGATTATAAATGTGCATCTCTGACTTCTCAAGTCGGGCGTCATCGACTTTGTTTGTTGGGGAAAAGTATCTTATCTCGATCCTAAACAATTTGTTGTGTTTGTTTTTCTTGGCATATATAGAACGGATTGAATGCACTGCATCTGGCTGCCAAGGATGGCTTCGTGGACATATGCAATGAGCTACTCAAGCGTGGCATTAACGTGGACAGTGCGACAAAAAAGGGCAACACCGCGCTGCATATAGCTTCATTGGCGGGGCAGCAACAAGTGATCAAACAGCTAATCCAGTACAATGCGAATGTGAATGTGCAGTCGCTGAACGGCTTTACCCCATTGTATATGGCTGCGCAGGAGAATCATGACGGATGCTGCCGTCTGCTGCTCAGCAAAGGCGCCAATCCGTCGCTGGCGACCGAAGACGGCTTTACCCCTTTGGCGGTGGCCATGCAGCAGGGGCACGACAAGGTTGTCGCGGTCCTCCTTGAGAGCGATGTGCGCGGCAAGGTGCGTTTGCCGGCGTTGCATATTGCAGCCAAAAAGAATGATGTTAGTGCGGCAACGTTGCTGCTGCAGCATGATCCGAATGCTGATATTGTATCAAAGTCGGGATTCACGCCGCTGCACATTGCCGCCCATTATGGCAACGTGGACATTGCCAGCTTGTTGCTGGAACGTGGCGCCGATGTCAACTACACGGCCAAGCATAACATTACGCCACTCCACGTCGCCTGTAAATGGGGCAAGGCGGCAGTGTGTAGTCTCTTGCTGTCGCAACATGCCCGCATTGATGCAACCACCCGTGATGGCCTAACACCACTGCATTGTGCGTCGCGCTCGGGTCATGTTGAGGTCATTCAGCTGCTGCTCTCTCAGAATGCGCCCATATTGTCGAAGACAAAGAACGGCCTGTCCGCTCTGCATATGTCGGCGCAGGGGGAGCACGACGAGGCGGCACGCCTCCTGCTCGATCACAAAGCACCTGTCGATGAGGTTACCGTTGACTATTTGACGGCCCTGCATGTGGCCGCTCACTGTGGCCATGTACGTGTGGCCAAGCTGCTGCTCGACTATGGCGCAAATCCCAATTCGCGTGCCCTCAACGGATTTACGCCCTTGCACATTGCCTGCAAGAAGAATCGCATCAAGGTTGCCGAATTGTTGCTCAAACACGGCGCCAACATTCGTGCAACCACAGAGTCCGGCCTGACGCCATTGCATGTGGCCAGCTTTATGGGTACGTTGCGTATTTTCTCCTATTCTACAATTTGACTAATCAGAAATGTGAAATGATTTTGTTTTTAGGTTGCATGAACATTGTTATATACTTGCTGCAACACGACGCCAGTCCCGATATGCCCACAGTTCGCGGCGAGACTCCGCTTCATTTGGCTGCGCGTGCAAATCAGGTACGTACATGATTGGCGGTTTTTTGTTTTGACCACAAAACTGATTGATGTCACTTTATTTTCTAGACTGATATCATTCGAATATTACTTCGGAATGGAGCTCAAGTCGATGCGGTTGCTCGCGAGGGTCAAACACCGCTGCATGTGGCAGCTCGTCTTGGTAACATTGACATTATAATGCTGATGATTCAGCATGGTGCCCAGATAGATGCCTGCACGAAGGATATGTATACGGCTTTGCATATTGCCGTCAAGGAGGGCCAGGAGGAAGTCTGCCAGCTGCTCATCGAGAACGGCGCCCAGCTGGACGCCGAGACCAAGAAGGGCTTCACACCACTGCATCTGGCCAGCAAATATGGCAAGGTAAAGGTGGCAAATCTGTTGCTACAAAAAGGTGCCGCCATCGATTGTCAGGGTAAAAACGATGTGACTCCGTTGCACGTGGCCACGCACTACGATCACCAGCCCGTGGTCCTGTTGCTGCTGGAGAAGGGCGCCTCGACGCAAATAAGCGCACGCAATGGGCACAGTTCTCTTCATATCGCTGCTAAGAAAAATAACTTGGAAATTGCGCAAGAGCTACTGCAGCACGGTGCCGATGTGGGAGCATTAAGTAAATCTGGATTTTCGCCATTACATCTGGCTGCGCAGGAGGGACATATCGAAATGGTTCAACTGCTCCTGGAGCACGGTGCCAATGCCAACAGTTCAGCAAAGAACGGACTGACTCCGTTGCACTTAGCCGCTCAGGAGGGACATGTTCAGGTCTCACGTATTTTACTTGACCACGGCGCAAACATTTCGGAGCGCACGAAAGCCGGCTATACGCCCCTTCACATTGCTGCCCATCATAATCAAATTAATGAAATTAAATTTCTGCTCGAAAATGATGCCAACATTGATATGACAACAAATGTTGGCTACACAC